GTCAGACCCTGCTGTCTGTGCAGTGGAAATGGAATACGAAGCTTTCCGGACCAGCAAAATGGCAAATTCCTACAAGGCAGCTGTGCTAAAGAAGGTAGGGACAAACATCTACATCTGCTGCTCCCTGGAACCTGGGAGCTCCAGGGCAAATAGGGCAGAGTTTGTGTGGGAAAGGTGAAGGACAAGCTCTGTTTTGCATTGGGTATCTTACAAATCTTTCTTCTTAATTTTGTTTCCAGGGGGGCCCAGAATCACCTCGAGTTCACATCTTTGTTGGCTTTACAGGCTCTGAAGACCTACATAGGAGTGCAAGCTTATCCAGATATGTTGTAGCCATACAGGAATTTGGGAATTCCTCAGGCTGCTGCTGGCACTAGAGAAGCCTTAGTTTAGGTTATCTGGTTGCCATCATGCTCTCTGAAGATGTTTCTGTTCTTGAAGCAGGTGCCTCTCCACAGCAGATATTTGTTTTGTTACTATGACTTTTAGTATGTACAAGGCAGAAATTCATAAAGATTTCTGGCCATTAGAGAATATTTCTGTTCTCTTTTCAGGTGGCAGAAATCAATAAAGCCTCCAAACAAGGGGAATTGTTCTCAGTCTTTGGGTCTGGAACAGATGGTAACAGCAATTTCAAAACAAAATCTGTGTCTCTAGCAGAAGAAGACTTTGTCCCTGCATCCCAGGTTCCCTCGGTGAGTGGGATAGACAGGAGGAAATAGTGTATTTTGTCTGTCTGACTTTTCATAAATTTGAATCCTTTCTGTGGCCACAACTGCCATTGTGCTATATTTTTATTGTAATTGCTTTTTCCTGTCTGTCACGTTGTTATTAGTGAATATAATCTGTGTTCAGGCCACAGCTTAAATAAGTTCTTTCTCATTTTGCTTTATCCAAGGATGCAGCCTTATTTTCTTACTGCTGGCCTAGGTCTTCCACCTAATCCATTTCCCTCATGTCTCTGTTAATGGGTGTGATGATCAGTCAGATTTAGAGCCTCCTTCAGCTTACAGCTGCCCACCCTGGTGTATTGTGTGCAGAAATTTAGCTGCTTTCATGGTGCTGCACTCAGGGATCTCACATCCAAAATTTCTTCTTCTTCCTGTCTCCCCAGTTCAAACCCAAGCGTGTGGGAGCAGGATTTCCAAAGAAATCCAGCTTGTTCCAGACAGCTTCAGAACTGCTAAAGATCCAGGAGGAGAGTGATGCAAAGCCTGCCAAAAAAGACTGTCCAAGTGGGCAAGACAACAGCAGCTACAGTCTGGACCTGGACACCAGAAACCCTGCTCTCCAGAGGGAAGAAACTGCAACCAAAGCAGTGGGTGAGAGTGCAGGCGTAGAGCTACACCCAGAAAAGAAGGAGCAGCAACCCAGTCCAGACACAAAAAGTGCCCTTGGGGGGAGCCCTGCTAAGAAGTCCAAACGTAGCAAGAAGCAGCAAATGCTTGCACAGGCAGCTAAAAAGGAATCACAGGATATTTCCAAATTCTTCTCCCTCACCAAAGCTGCCTCTAAAGCCCAAAGCTGCAGTGTAGCAAAGGGAGATGGCTGTTCTGCAAGCACAGTACCTCAGGTTCCTTCTCAAAGTGTTTGTCAAAAGAAACCAATGCCTCAGGAAAACAAAGATGGCTCTGGAGACCTGACTGGGCAGTTCCAGGGGGAGAATAAAGAACTGAGAGAAACAGAAGTAGCACTGCCTGAGAGAGAGGAGAATTCTAAGACCCAGCAGGCTGCTGAATGTGAATTCCTTGAGGGAGAAATGGATGTGAAGTCCAGGTAAAATCTCTACTTCTCTGCTCTCTGTGTTGTCCAGAGCCCCACCAGCCTTGTCCTGGAAACCTGTATGAGGTTTCTGGGTCAGTGAGGGAAACTCTTGCTTTACCATGCAGACTCATGGCCACTGACACTGAATGCAGAAATATTTTCACTGTGGAATGATTACAATTGGCCTTCTCTCCACTCTTCCCCTTAGTGTTGCTGAAAATGTTGCAGAAACTGAGCTACCTGTTGTTGGAGAAGGTGACAGTGGGAAGCGACCAGGATCAGATGAGGTAAGACTTCAAAGAATGCTGATTACCTCTATTTCTTCTGCTCATCTTGTGTCAAATTTCTCTTTGGGAATGACACTCCCGCTCTGAGAGTGTCATTTATCTGGGGAGGGGCAAGATGCGGTTGCAACAGGAAGGAGAACCTCAGTTGTGTTGCATTCCTGGTGTTTCCCTGCTGCCCTCTGGGCTGTGCCAGCACCTTGGGCTGCAGTGGAGGGCTCCCTCTTCACTGCTTTGTTCCCTCCTCTGTGCAACTCATGTGACTGTGCCCTTGCTGGTGACTTGCCTGGAATTAGTGTCCCCACCCCCTGAGATCTGCGACTGACTATAATTAGGGAGCTGCTTTCTCAAGGCAAGAGCACAACCACAGGCCAGAGACACACGGGACCATTGGGAAGTGACCCTTGCTCACAGCTGCCTTGCCATTTATTTTCTGCTTCTGCATTTGGCAGCTGAGATTGCCTGGCAGCTGTCTCTGCAACACTGCAGTCTCCTTTCTTTTCAAACTGAGCAGGAGTGTGGCTCTCCTGATGTGTCTGATTCTTCCTGAGGGGTGTGTTCTGTTCTCAGCAGAAATCCTGAAAAATCTTTTCCAGTCAGTTTTCCTCTGTAGGATAGTGTCTAGCAATTAGCTGCCCCAATATGAGCACAGGGAATTCTTTAAAGGGTTTTTTATGTGGAATTCTTTAAAGTGTTTTTTTTCAAAGTCCCTTTGTGTGGGAATTAGTGTCTGCACAGCAAGTTAAAAGAAGTTACAGAGATTCCTACTGGGTGTTCACTGGAGGCAGAGGCTGCAGGATGCAGCAAATATTCATGTTCTGGGAAGGTGATGGCTGCTTGGAAGAGCAATGCTGCCACAGGAATTGGTAGGTTTGGTTTTCTTCTGTCCCCTCTCCAGGATATGGAAAGTCCTGCAAAAAAGCGGCTCCGGACAGCAGCAAAATCTTCAATTCTGACCCAGCCAGAGGGCAAAAGTGTTGGTCCAACAAAGAAAAAGGTGACTTTTGACTCAAATTTAGAACAGTGTGATGAAGGAAGCAGCAAGACTATACAGCCAGTGACCAAAGGCATATCCCTCAAAGAGACTGCAGACATCGTTGTCAAGAATTTGACTCCGTTCTACAAGGGGGGAAAATTTGCTTCCAAGGTAGAGTATAGCTGAAGGCCCTCTTTAGCAGAAGGAGAATTCATCTCTCTAGGGATCTGGGGCACTGCAGGGCCAGCTGTGTGTGTTCAGTCTAGGAGTGGTTTGTGCTGCAGCCACTTGGAAAAACAGACTTGGAAACAGACTGGTGATGTAACTGGTGTCTGCTTTCTGCTCTCTGTCTTCCCCAATGCTGCAGGATCTCTTCAAGGGCTTTGCCAGGCACCTGTCTCACTTACTGACCCAGGAGCAGAACCCTGCCCGCAAGACAGGTGTGTCTGGGGTGATTGCAATGCCAGATGGGTTCATGGCTTTAGAGGGGGCAGATGTCTTAAGTATCAACTCAAAAATGGTGTTTCCTCTCTTGCAGTGAAGGAGGAAGCACAGAGACTCATCAAGGAGTTTTTCAAAACAAGGCTCAGGTGTGAGAGTGAGGGGGACTGGGAGGAGCTGCAGAGCTTGGAGAGCTGATTCCTGCTGCTTGTTGGCTCTTCCTTCCTGCAGCAGCACCACCAGGGGATGTGGAAGAATTCAGCCATGGAAGGTTTTATGAGACTTCAGAAATGAGATTTATTTTTCGTTTCCCCACTGCATTTTTGCTCACTTCTGTCCTTAGTGACACACATTCCCAGGGAACCAGTTTTTGTGAACTCATGGTGAGTTTCCCCAGTAAGTGGGGTGCTCAAGGACCCTCAAGGACCAAGAGGTGTGAAGTTGTACCTGCTGTATTTGTTAGGGTCTGCTGCCTTGGATGTTCTGCACTGTCTCCAACCTCTACTACCTACAGCAGTCTGGGCAGGGCTCAGACTTTCCAGCTGGGACTCTGCTTTGGGATGGCACCTTGCTTTCTAAATGGCTCCTCCCCTTGCTCCCCCTCTCCCCGTCTCTTATTTCAGTGTCATCAATATGTTATAAATTCTCATGCTTTGCTCAGGGCTGCCAGTGACAAACTCAATGTTTGAGTTCCTGGATGGAGTATTTTTGTTTGAAGGGCAGGGGAGGAGCATTTTGTAATTACATGGAGGCAGTGCTTGCTTTCTAAAGGAGGAGAAATTCAGATTCTTTTTCTTTTAATGTGAACTTCTTTAACTTTGTCTATTTCTGCCTGCCCTTTAATTTAAGTGGTGATACTCTTTCAGTATTAACCCCTGCAACACTTCCAGCCTTTGCTTGTAATCCCTAAAGCCATATTTGCTCCCTGTGCCTCACCAAAAGTCTGCAGTACAGGGGGCAGTGCTGCTGTGACCCTCAAATTGACACTGTGGTACCTTTGCTGCTATGTTTATATGGAACCTAAACCTGATTCCCTGGCAGGAGTCCTTTCTGTTGGATTTTTGTTGGGTTCTGCCTCTATTCCATACCTACAGGGGCTGGTGGCCTCAGGCTCCAGTGGTGCCAGAGGAACGTACAGCCTCAGAGGCTGCCCAGGGGTTTGGATCACTGCATTCCACAGATGTATTTTTTTAATATGTTCTGAAGGGTATATGCAGGACTGACAATAAAGCAATGTTACAACTGCTGTGGATTCTTCCTGGAAGCTTTTTCTTACCACTCAGTCACTCCAGACGTTAGAGATACATTAAGCAGCACTCAAAGAGAAGCACCTGCCAGGGAAGATGCTGTAGTTCCCACTGGCATCAGCTCACCAGCAAAAGTCTAACTGTGCATCAGGGCTTGCACTGAGCACTCTCAGATCTATCCCCCCTTCCCTGCCAACAGTGATAACATTTTCCTCAAGCTTTACCCATTTCCTGCAGCTAAGTTTTCCCAGGTTATATGAAAGATCTAGCATATCATACCTCAGAACATCTCTGTGATTATTTTATTGCAATTTCCTAAAGGGCAGTTATTCCTCAGGTCATTAGGAGAGCTGTGGCAATAAAAATAAATTAAATATTTTTGTACAACCCAAAACACTTCAGTATAATACAAGTTCTGTTTGAAGAAGCTTCCTCCATGGGCATAGAGCCATCATTGAAGTCTGACAGCTGCATGACCATGACTGACTTCTTTATAGTAGAAGGAAGCATATGCATATAATTATGTCAGTGAGAAATTAATTAACAATAAACTTCCTTACCATTGCTGCTCAATCTGTGCCCCAGCATATGTGTTAATTGTATGATTAACACTGATCTGCTTTTCAATTAGGATGCTTTCTACAAACTGCTTCACAAATCCTAGCTACAGGACTTCTGCATATCAATTCAGAGACAAATCTGGCTCCTGGAAAGCACCAGCAGGCCATGCAGGCATTGCACAGCCTCAGCTGGGCATTGGGATACACAAATCTCTAGCAAGCACCAGGCTTTGCTCGTGATAATTAATTCAAAACAGAAAGGAGGAGTTGCACAGTGCAAAGCTTGAAGGCAAGTGCTTGCTTTGGGTCAGCTGCTCTTTGTTGGAAGGGCTGTGGTGTGGAGAGGCCCTTGGGGTTTGTTTAGCCACAGCATGGATTGTTTCAAGGAAGTGCTTGAGGGCGGAATGGCAGGTCACAAGGGTTATGATCACTCCATCAACAAACGCTGTGGTGGCATTCTTAGAAAGCAGCTGGCTGAGGTCATGGGTGTCTTCTGGAAGAGTTCTCTCCCAAAGACAGGTCAGGGAGCACTGACCAAGTTCAGAGAAAGGGAAACAGTGCTGTTTTCCTTGGCCATTCTCCTCCTTTCAGGCTCTAGGAGTGCAGCTCTGTTTTATCCAGCATGACAACAATTGTGTGGTACAGTTCTTTGGCCTGTCAAAACACAAACCAGCATCAATCACTCTTTACCACAGAAAGAGCTGCTTCCCCTAGTTAAATATCCCCATAAATCACTTCCTATAATCAAATATCAGCCATATGCTGGGACCAAGCTGCACTTCAGAGCCTGGAAATGCAGTGTCCCCTTCCTCCTTTGGGACACGAGCCAGGAGCAGCAGCACCATCCCTCAGCTGGGCAGGGGAGGGCAATTTGGGAGGTGCCAGGAGGAAGCTGCAGGTCCAGGCTGATCTCACCTGTGACAGTTCCACCCACAGGGCTTTGGGGCTGCCAGGGGAGCCGTAGTGGAGCTCCAGGCCGGGAAGGCCTCCGTCAGACATGGGCCTCAGGGTGCGCATCTTCTGCAGCTCCTTCAGGAGAATGACCTGGGACACGGCCTGCAAAGGGAAAAGCCACTCTCAGGAGCAGTCCCTAAAGTGAAACCGTCTGATTCTCACCAAAAGGCACCTCAGGAGCCTGTGGAAAGCTGAGGGAAGGTCTGGGATCCAGGGTGGTGTGTGCAGGATACAGGGCAGGCTCCGGCTGCCCAACACAGCCCTGGAACTCCCACAGGACTGGGACAAACAGGAATGGCTTCTACATTTAGTTTTACTGTGGATTGTGCTTGTTAGCATAAACACTGGATTTACAAAAGAGCCCATGGCAATAATGCCTGTTGTATACTCTCTTACTTTGGGCTAGTGCTCACAAGTTCTTCTAAAGTCACAGATATTATCTGACAGATCAAGGGGAACTGTCTGGCATACCTGGGTGGTGACATCCACCGCAATGATCTCCTCCTTGTTCACACCAAAAAAACAGGGCACAGGGATCATGCCTTCACTGATTCTCTCCACTATGAAGATGGTGTAGCCAAAGAAAGGCAATTTCATGACGTGCTCTAGAAGAGAGCAAAAAGTGGCCTGAGGGCAACAGCTTTCAGCCAGCAATTTACTGCATCAGCCTGGGGTGGTCAAAATTGGCAGTGTTCCCAAGATTTTTTATATTAAAAAGTAACATTGACAATTTATGCCTCCCTCCCTGGCTTCTGAGACTCAATTCTCAGTCACCTGAGTGCATGTCCTGTCCTTTTCCGACTGGAAAACAGACATGAAGCCAGAATATCAATTAAAACACAGCTTGTACAGAGCTCTGAAAATCCACTGCAGACTCCAACAAGAGATGGAACTTCTACCATATCATCATGCTTGGGAACAAGATCTAATCCACAGTGAAGAACTGTCAGGGAATTGCATTCTCATGGCTCATTCCAGGCTCCAAAAATCATCAACAACCTCATGAATTGTCTCAAAAGTGCATTCAGACCAGCTTCCAGAAGCTGAAACAGCATAGAAACTGAAGCAGATCTGGATGTCTCCTCACCTATGAACTGGATTTTTGCATCCCGTGGCTGGAGGGGCGGCCTCGTTCTCAGCAGTGTGGCCACGTGGCTGTGCAGAGCCTTGGGGCTGATGGAGGACTGCAGGGTCTTTGGAGTGTACTCCTTCAGCTCTTCCCTGTGCCAAAAAACAGATTCTAATTCATCCCCTGCCCAGCTAAAATCAAACATCAGCCAGGGGATTAAGAGGAGGGAGGGCATGGGGCAACAATTTTCCATTGTATATCTGGGAACAAGGGTGAAGGGGGAGAAGAAGAGCACAACAGGTGATGCCTGCATTGGATTAGGTGGAAGGAACCATCAGAGACAGTGAGACCACCCTTGTCTTGACCCTCTTTTCTGGAGACAGCAAGAGCTCTTCAGTGACCAGCAGGGTCATGCCATTTCCCTCCTGCTGGTGCTTTAAGGGCATCTGATGGAGGCATTACCTCAACTCCAAGTCAAAGTGCATAAGGAAAGGAAGGAGTGGCAAAGTACAGCTTGAAACTACAGGACTGAAGGTTTCCAGTAGCCAGGGACAATTTTGTTCCCATTGGGCATCCCTACACTACAGATTTCAGGTGTCCAGGGTTGAAACTTCTGACACTTGTGAGAGAGAATAAAGGCTTCACCCAAACCATGAGCTCATGCCCTTCCTTCTTGGTGTTACAAATCCATGGCAATCAAATGAAATTACTATGGCACCCTCATGACCCTCTGTGTTCTCCAGAACTGGACATTTCTTAATTATTCAGAGGACTTCCAGGTACCTGCCCCTAACCCCTGTGGTGTATGGCCATCACAGAGAGATCCCCTCTGCCACAGGCATACCTGGAGGGAGCAGAGTTCTGCTGCTCCACTTTGGCCCAGTGCTGGAGCATTGCCAAAAGGCCCACCTGCATCTCCATTTCTTTACTCTGGTTCAGCAGGATCCTCCCATTCAGGTAATCCCACAGCACCTGAGGGACAGCACAGCAAAGAGGCCTTTGTTAAACCTGCCAGAGGGTACAGGCAAGTCTGGGCAGTGCCAGGCTGCACAGACCCACGTCCTGCCTTGCTGATAATGCAAAACAAAGGCTGAGCTCAGGAAGAGCCTGGGGAGCTGCACAGTGTGTGGAACAGCACTGCTCCAGGCTGAGGCCACAGGCACAGAGCCTTCCTGGCATCCATAGCTTCAGTGTTCAGTCACTCCCACAAACAGCACACAAAGCCCATCAGCACTCCTGCTATTTCAGCCCCCTTGGGACATTCCTGTTGGCTGGGACACTACATCTGTCCCTGCTAGGGAGGGTCCTGCTCTTCCTTACCTGTCCATAATGGACATCTGTGTAAACTTCGTTGTCGAAGTGCAGAGGTGTCCTCCAGATGAGCCTGCGTAAAGTCACAGTGACCAGCTTGTCCTCCAGCAGGTAATCATGGAGATACTCCTCCAGTTTTATTGGTCTCACCATTTTACCTACATGACACAGAGAGAGGGTCATCCATCCTTCTTGGTAGAGAGGCTGGGACAGGAGCCTTCCTGCACACCTCAGTTCCACCCCACCCTGAGACTCCAACCATCAGCCATTCCAAAGGGACACAGAATCCCACACCTCTTTCAGGAACAAGCTGCCCAGACCCTGGGGAGAATCAATCTTTAACCCTAATATAGAGGGAAACTGCTTAAGAGGACCCTCCCAGGAGGCAGCAAGGGTGGAGGAACTATTCCAAGCAGGAGCTGTGATGCTCCCTTTTGCAGAGGCTGCTGAAAGAGAGAAGCTCCATGCTGGTCTCTACTTGCCGAGATTTTTGTCGTCACTCCTGATAGCAAAGAGAACAAAATCCTGTATCTCTTGCTGTTCACCTATTCCCATCTGCTCACAGATCTCCTGCAAGAGCTCCTTGGCCACCTGAAGCAAGGAAAGAAGGAAATGAATACCCTGACCAGGTAAGCCAAAGAGCAGATAGACACATTATCCCTTGTCAGATAAGGGATTTCCCTGGTGTGGCTCAGAGTCCAGACCAGTGAAGGAATTCACAGCTGGAAACTCACAGTGAATGTCCTGATCCTGGTGAGGTACTCCATGCCTCCAGGCATCAACACAACCAGCCGGCGGGCACCGTGTCCCTTCTGCAAAGAACAATGTTCAGGCAGCAAGACATGCAGGGTCCCATCACCCGTGTGTTTGTCCCTCTTCTTCCTCATCCCTGCTGCCACTGCTTGTCCTCAGCACCTGCCCACTCCATGGCACTGCACTTCCCGAGCTCCTTCCATCCACACGCTCCATTTCCTCTCCTGAAACACCAGCTGCCCCTGTCACACTGCACGTGGCACCTCCAAAGCCTCTTCCCTGTCCCCCTTCCCAGCACCCACCCACTTCCCTGCCCTCCATACCAGCAGTGCCTCCATCTCCACAGGGAAAGGGAGGTGCCGACGGCCCCCGTACAGGAAGTTTTTGCGCAGGTTGCTCTGGCAGATCTTGGCTATATCTGCAGGAAAAGGAAAAAGCTCCATGTGCTGAGCCAAAGAGAGACCTAAACACAGTGTCCTGTGGTGTTGGGTCATCCTGGCCAAGTTGAATTTAACCCCTTCTCTTAGGTTGTGAGATGTGTCTGGCTGTGTGTATTCTATTGCCATCTGTCAGAGCTGGGGCAGGGCTCTGCTGCTCTTTGGGCAGTTTGCTTTATCTCTCCCACACCCAACCCTCCCTCCAGGAGATCTCTGCTGTCCATGGCCACTGAGTGTCCCTGCATGGCTGAGAAAATTCCATCACCCATGGGGAGATGCTCTGCCCAGGGGAGGAGCCAAACATTCCTACCTGGATCCAATCTGACCTGGGAACAGCACAGCAGCCTTTGCCCCCTGCATTCCCAGAGGAGCAGCTTTCTTCCCACTGCATTCCCTGAGGAGCAGCTTTCTTCCCCCTGCATTCCCAGAGGAGCAGCTTTCTTCCCACTGCATTCCCAGAGGAGCCCAGGCCCATCTCCAGCAGCCCTGGAGCTCCAGAGGAAAACTCCCCCCTTGTGCAGGATCCTGCTCCAGCAGAAGCACAGCTGGCACTGCAGGAGGGCTGAGCCACCCTGGGATGGGGCTGCTGCCACCTCCCTGACCCACAGGGGGTCAGGGCCTGTTCTGACTCTGTCATTGTTCTGTATTACTACATTTTTTTGTTCTATTTTTTTTCCTAATAAAGAACTGTTATTCCTATTCCCATATCTTTGCCAGAGGGCCCCTTAATTTCAAAATTATTACAATTTGGAGGGAGGGGGTTTACATTTTCCATTTCAAGGGAGGCTCCTGCCTTCCTTAGCAGACACCTGTGTGTTCAAACTAAGACACCCCTGTCACTGCTAGGAGAGACGAGAGATTTGACCTCACCTCCCACCCTGCCAGGACACATCCAAACATGGCAGTGTCTGGGACAGAGGAACAACAGATTAGATCTGGAATATTTGCTTTACAGGACACAAACAGTCTTACCATGGTGGGTTCTGGATGGATCACTGCTGGCCAGCTGCAGGAACTTGGTGGCATAGGGCATCAGGATTTTGGAAGGCAGGAAGTACCCAGTGAGCAGGTTTAGGAGCAACCAGCCTCGCAGCTCGCTCTCCCTGTGGATCAGAAAGGACTCTGGGCACCTTGGGACATGACAATTCCTGCTCTGAGTAGCTCAAAGTGAGCTTGTGCCCTTCTGAACACCTCTGGCAGCTGGCAGAAAAGGAGGTGTCAGCCCTTGGTCAGAGGTTTCTTGTGCTGAGTAAGAGATTGATTCAGTTATTCCAACAGCCAGCAATGAAAGGGAACAATCAAGGCCACTCCGATGCCACTGCTGCCACCTCCCAGGGCAGTGTGAGGCCAAGCCAGTCCTTGACTGGTGCTTATCAATTCCCCAAAGCTGGGAGGAGGAAATCAGGACTGTGAGCAGCACCTGACCAGGAGCCACCAGGAATGTTTACTGTGCCCAGATAGATCAGCAGCCAGAAATATAAGGAAAAATATCTACTAAAGTGAAAATGCCAGACCCAGTGCCCAGCAGATTTTCTGAGTGCTCAGCAGGAGCTTCAGCACTGGAGCAGCTGGGGACAAGCCATCATGAGGGGACACCCTCTCCCCTGGTCCTGGTGTCCCTGCAGCAGATGGTTCCTCTCCAGCTGTGCACACACAGGAGCTGGCAGTGCTGGTACTCACTGCTGAGGGTTGTGTGTGACTTGTTTGATGACCTGGCAGTAGATCTCATCGTGCAAATTCTCCTTCTCCTTGCACAGCTGCATCCAGAGAGGGGAAAACAGCATCAGAGAGGGGATGAGAGATCAGAGATGTCCCCAGGTCATCCTTGTGCCCTTCCTCTCCCAGCTTCAGAGCTCTGTTAGTTTGGCTTAAAGTTTGGGCTTTGCAGCCTCTGATCCCTTGTGCTATTTAGGCTCAAAGGAGGAGAGAGCAGAGGCAGGTTGTGCTCTCATCCAGACAGTGATATCCAGGAAAACCATTTAACATGCAAACACTCCCCACAGTCTGTTTCATCTCCCTTCCTCATGTAGGAGGTGCTATTAGGACTCTCCCTGCTCTTTTCCTTCCCAGCAAGGTCTTGGCCCTCCATTCCCATTGGTGCTTCTGCACTTTTCCCAGGGGAAGCTCACAAACCTGAAGGATTTCATAGATGCATTGGACCTCAGTCTGGTGCTTGTGTTTTGGCCGATCTCCCATGAACCTCATCAGTGCTGCAAGGCAAAGCCTGGCCTTTAGTCTGAGATGGGGTGGTCTGCCATGGGGCTGGCAGTGGGCAAGAAAATGTCCTGAAAACTTCTCTGCTGTTACAAGGCTTGCACTGGACATGTGGAGTCAGCCCAAAGCCCAGGCAGAGTGTTCTGGGACACTTAGCACTCAAGGCAAAGTCCCTCTTGTTGGAAGATTTCAGCAAGCACACAGGGGGTCATGAACTGCAGAAATGCCTTCCTGCCTTCCCAGAACTGCAGAAGGGACCCTCCACTCCCACTGAGCCCCACAATGTCTGTGTGCACCCACCCTGACCACCCCACTCCCCCTCTCTGCTGTGCTGTCCCAGGGAGGTCCTTACTCTGGAAGTTCTTTGTAGCCAGCTCACTCAGCTCACTGTCAGAGTACCGGAGCAAAGACGCCTGGATTGGGACCTACAGGGCCAGAAGACAGGGATGAACCAGGGCTGTGGATCACACAGAGCTCTGCTCTGCAGGCTGCACCAGACACTTGAGCTGCCAGGATCCCACAGGCAGCACTGAAGAGTAGGAGACACCTAAACTTGTCCAGAGACTGCAGCCAAGGATCTGTTCTGTGGCCATGTGGGACAAAGCCAGAGGCAGTGCTGGAGCTGGGATTCTGGCTGTGGCCAGGGGGAGAGGCTGAGCTCACCTTGGTGTGCCGTACCAGGTCAGCCACGTTCTTCTTCTCAGCTGACATCCCCTTCAGGCCCTGCCTAGACGGAGGAGAGGGAACATGCAGTCCAAGAAATACCCCCAGAAACAGCCTGGTGTGGGTCAGGCTACCCAGGTCCTGTTTGGGAAGGAGCACAGGCTACTCACATGGACTGAGCCTCTTGGAAGTAGCTGGTGGCGAAGTCAATCATGGTGTAATGGTCACCAGCAGGGACTAACATGGTGCTAGTGGCTTCTGGTGTCAGGCTGAGGACAGAACTCTGCAGGAACACCACCAAACCCACCCTAAAACATCAGCTGAGGAACTGCAGTGTGTATTCTCAGCTGCCAGGCCTCATCTGTGTGTGGTGCCTCACCTCCAACACTGTGATGGATTTGAGTGTCTCATCTGCAAAGACTAAGCACTCATCATCTTCTTCCCTCTGCCCTCAGAGGTCAGACACTACCAGAGCCATGGACCCGCCCTGGCAGCTCCCACAGAACCCAGCCATGTCCCCTGGGTGTCCCTCCCCAAGGACTGCTCACCTCCCTGCTGGTGTTCCTGCTCTCTGGGGTGGCTCTCATGCTCTTCCTCCGCTCTCCCCGTCTGTCTATGCTGGTGCTGAGGTAGTCAATGGCAGGAGCCAGCTGCACCAGGCTGGTGGGGAACAGACCACAGCGGCCACCGGTGGAGCCAAACTGCCACCCTGGAAAAGCAACAGAGAAAGGGTCAGGAGCCAGGGCAGCTGCCAAGAGAAACGAGCACTGAAGCTCTGTGCTGGTGAAGGAGAGCATCAGACTCACCAGGTTTTCCTGCATCCTAAGGAAACATATATATACATAAAAAACTATAACTGATATATAACTATAACTATATATTAAAAAAAAGTTTTTATAAAAAAACTTTATAAAAAGTTTTATATAAAAAACTTTATATATATTTTTATATTAAAAAACTGTATAAAAAGTTTTCTATAACTATATATAAAAACTATAACTATATATATATAAAAAACTAATTCCTATAACTGAGGCAACTAGGACAAGGCTTGTCTGGAGAGCTGGAGGCCGATGATGCCAGCTTACCCTATATTCCTCTGGTTCTGGGCACCATGGGTCCAGCAGGCCCTTGATCTCGTCCTGCCAATCCCAACACACCCCCTCACCTGGCTCCACGCCCTGCATGGGCAGCAGCTCGATGAGGTCACCCTTCTTGAAGCTGAGCAGGCTCTTGTCATCCACGATGTAGCTGCGCAGAGCCACCACATAGTTGGTGTCCTGGGGAAAGGCCAGGTCAGATCCTGTCCCAAGGACGTGCAGGGCTCGGAGCATGTCACCCCACAGACACTCAGTTTCATCTGGGAAACCACCTTCATTCCCTACTGCACTCCAGCTGCCTCACCTGCCTCAGCTCCTGCATGAAGAGTTCCACCATGGCCTTGATGCACGGAGCCTTTGGAGAGTGCAGGATGAGCTGCTCTGTCTTCAGGGAGAACTCCAGGGAATTGCTGCCTTTCATCTCCACTGACAGTATATCTGCAAAGCTGGGAACACAAGCCAGTGTGCTCAGACTCCTTCTGCCAGAGCTTGGGATGCAGAACGTGGGGATGGGAGCCCATTCCAAGGACTGGGAATGGAGACATGCCTCAACATTCTCCATGCTGGCCTTCCTCCAGCTGCTCATGGCTTTCACCCTGAGGAGCTCCCTGTGATGACCCACGGAGCTGATTCACCCCCAGCACTTACTTGTAAGCAAAGCTCAAGGTAGGAAGGAAAAGGAGAAGCCAGACTCATTAAAAGGAGGCTCAGTGAGTCACAGCTGGCCTAGGATAATCCTGGAGAGCACAGCACAACTCGGAATTTTCAGCTCCCCCATTCAGTTTGCCTCCAACACCCTGCCAGACACAAACTATCCTCCTGCAGCAGCCAGGGCCCTTTTGCTCACCAGTAGCTGCATAGGATCTTGAGGTGCTCAGGATGGTATCCAGCTGCTTTCTCCACCTTCAGCAGCCTCATGCCCCGGTGAGAAACACCCAGGATCTGCACATCACTTCCCTTTTCACCCTGTAAGGGAGGTGCAGCACAGAGAACTGAAGGCTCCATCCCACCTGCACGGGTGGCACCAGGGAGAGGAGATGCCACACAAGAGGTGTGAAACCCTGCAGGGTATGGAAGGTACAGAATCACTGCAGTGTGGCCGGGCAGGGGGACAGAAAGAGTGACCTGGAGCCACAGCTAAGGGGTCTGGTGAGAGAATTAAGACTCACCTGAACTGGGAAAAGGCGGGAGAAATAGTTGGCCCAGTTGTCCCGAGCAGCCACGACAATCCTCTTCTTTATCCCATCCTCCTGAATGGACTGGGCATTGTTGCCAACTCGGAACTCCACTAGCAGGGTTACAAAACTGTTACTTGCTTAGAAAGACAAAGGTGGCCAAGTCTCCCTCTTCCCAGGGATTCATTCCAGCAGTCCCTCTGTGTTCACAGCACAGCAAACCACATGCAGAGGGAAAAGGACACTTGCACATACCAGTCTACTACTGGTTTCCATCCCTTTCTCCATGAAGATCATATCAGAGATGACAGTGGGAATTTGAAGCAAATCAAAATCCTATCCTTGGGCTTCAGTTTACTCTCCCCACAATAAACATTTCAGAACTAAGGTTTTCTGGCTCATAGAAATTTCAGGGCCATTTGGAATAAACCAACATTCCTACACTGCACTCTACAAATGTCCTTCTCTGCTGCAGTGACAAACATATCTCCTCTACCCTAAGTACTGACTGAAAGGGTTGGAGGTCAGTTTTTCATTCCAGACCAGAAGCTGGGATGGGCACAGAGGGGAAGGGGTGATGGGGCTGTTAATTACTCAGCAGGTCTTTCATCTTGCGCTTCTCCTCCCTGGAGATCCGAAAGCTGGACTCAGAGAAAGTGTCACGGATGATCTGCAGAGGAAGAGAATGGAGAGGCTTCCATTGCAAAAGCCACACCTGGCTGTGCTGGAGCACCTGAGGCTGCTAAACTGAGTCTCGGAGAGGAGTGAACAGGGATTGTGTGGATCTGGGGAAGAGACTTGCACTGTTTGGGATGGAGAAGTGAAGGTAACTCATGCAATGTAATTATGCAGTGTTTTGTCCCCAGAGAGACAACTGGCCTTGAGCCACACTCACTCCAGTGCTTACCTGTTCACACAGCAAGTTCAGACAATAAGGGTGGCTGAAATTTTCTTTGGGATAAAACACCTGCAAGAGGAGGGCAACAGTGGTGTTACAGATATTGCAGAAGTAGCTCCCTGGGGATATTTTGCAATCCATATGCCCTGCTGCCAGGGAGGAGTGAGTTCATCTCCAGGGACAGGCAGGGAGGAGACACTGAATGTAAACAGAAGGACCAGGAGTGAAGGACCAAAACCTGAGTCAGACCAAGGGATGAACCCTGGTGAGTTTAGCACACTCTCTGGTACATGATTTTAAACACATTTGTACTATATTAACAGGAAAGCACCAGGCAACAACAAATTCAGTTCTAGATTTCTCAGTAGTCTAAAGGGAGGAAAGGACAGGTAGAGAAACTGAGACAAGTGTCAGTAAGGCAGAGCAGGACCCGGATTCCCCATGACATGATCCCCTGCCTCCAACTCCTGTGTGTGTGATCCCAGAATTATCTTTGTGCTCTTAGCTTGCATTGAGTACTTATGACCAAAAAAACCCATTTTAACCAAAGATGGGACGAGCTCCCCTCCCCAGCCAATCCTCAGCTAAGGAACTGAACCTCTTTGCGCAGAAAAATTTTCCAGGCAGGGTCGACATAGGAAAAGCTGACGCTGGTGGTGAGCTTGTACAGCTGGGTCTTGATCCCATCATCACCTGCCACTGTCACAGCAGAGTCTGCATGGGGAGAAAAAGCAGAGAGGGTTACAAGGTCCTTTCCATCCACCAAAGACCTACCAGGAGAAAGGGGACAGTTCCTGATGGAATATTCCTGTCAGGGAATCTCCTGAAGGTCAGTGACCAGCTCATGTGAGCACAAACCAGTCATTCCCAGAATTTCTGGTAGCATTTACACTTCCACTGTCTAGCCACAAAGTTCACTGCTAAGAACAGAAACACTCCAGGGACTGGGAGCACTCAGCCTCCCACATGAAATACTCCCTCAGTGCTTGAGGTTGAAGACACAGGTTTCACTGTGTGTCATTACAAACAAGCTGCTAAAGGTTTCAGAGGAACATAGAAGTTCTCCCCTGAGCTTGGAGGCTGCAAGGTTCTGGTTCAGGGCACCCAAAACTAGCACCAGATTGTGTCTCTGCATATGTGTTAAGGACAGGCTCAGTCTGAAGGCAACTGCTCAAAGTTCTTACTTTATGAGACAGGAATGTCTTCATTTAAGCACTTCAAACTTTCAAAATTTCAGAGTATATAGACAAATAATGTAGTAATTCCCATACTTCAGCTGTTTCTGTATCCCTGTTCCAAAGCATGAAGTAATTTTTCAGGCTAATCCAGTTACTTTGATTTACTTTCACAGGATTTCCTAAATAATATTTTTTTAAGAGAGGAGGAGCTAACAGGGAAATTCTTTTATACCAGGGAAGTTGCTGCAGAATGGAGTCCTTCAATAAAGTGTTTGACTGACTGTTCCTTGCAGGTTATGGCTGATGAGAATTTTAAATAGCTTGAAATACATTGGTACAGGTATCCAATGTATAAAATTAATTCAGGCTCACATGGAAATTCAAAGGCAAAACTAAGACTGAATAACACTTCCAAACTACTGCTGATAACTATTACCTCTACTTTTTTAAAATGGGCAGCATCCAAACACTCTTTATGTGTCCAAGGTCTCCCAGGCTCAGCCTCACTCTGAGAAACATTCCTGAGCCTGTCTCTAAGATCCCTCCAGAGGTTTGTAAGGTGAAAGACCTGGCTTCCCATTCCTCCCTGGTCTAAAGTCCACCCACTAATTGCCACTTTGATAATTATGCTGTAGGTAAACAATAAAAGGAGCTTTCTATTTTTAGCTGCATTTTTCAGAAGGGAAGAGTTAAGGGCTGGGAAGTGCCACGCAGGTTGCTGGGCCAGGCTGGAACTGTGACATCTGATTGCTCACAGATGAGATTGCACCATCTCCCTGGACTCACACAGCTCCCTCAGCCCCTGGCACACTGCCTGCTGCCAGGACCTGTGCCATGACTCTCCTGGGCTGATTCCAGCCCCATCCCCTCGTGCCCTGCCACCAAATCCCACATGGGTGAAACCAGTACTCACCCTTCCCTGTGGATTCCTGCCTGCCTTGGTCCTCAGGCATTGGTGGGGGAAGAGGGGGAGCTTGAGGAGCCTGGGCAGCTGGTGGGGCATCCTCTGGTTTGAAGATGGACAGGAGAGGCAACTGCTTTTCCTTGATAGAGCTGGAAGCTTGGCCTGGCTTGGGCTTGACAGGTGGAGGTATCTTCTTCTCCTGTGGCACAGGAGATGGCTGCAAGACAGTAAAACATTTGAGCCAGTCTTTTCCTGCATTCCTGGGCTCTGTCCTGACACTGCTGTTCCAAATCATCTTAGGGCAGCAGTCCACCCCTGGAGCAAGATCTATGTGAACAGCCCACCACTGCCTTTAGATCAACACAAAATCTACAAAGAGATGATCAACCAAAACCAGAGGACCAAGTATTTGAGATCAAAACCTCTGGTTTGGAAAGGAAAAAAGGATGTTAACAAGCCAAAGCCTTGGTGCCAAACATGGAGAACATGAGTTGCTTGCTTCCAGATCAGCCTTTAGCATTTCACAACACTTGCTGCTCCAGAACCTTTTCTTCATGACCTCAGATGACTTTACAGGAACTCAGTCTAGGGTGGGTAGGACCATGGTGTGAGCTCCCAGTTATCTCACAACCCAGCCAGAAATCACCTGGCTGCTACTGCAGCGCCAGGGAGATCCCAGCCTGCTGCAAATGGGATGGACAGGCTCTCTCTGCTGAGCTCCTGAAGCAACCAGAGAGCAAAGAACTCACTGATCGCTGAGGTGAGGGGTTCATCATTCCCAGTTTGGCCAGAGCCTCATTTTTGGGGTCATTCTTCTTTATAAATGGCTTGGGTACTTTCCTGCAAGGGAACACAGGACAGCATTATGGGGTTTGGGCACAATGGAGCCACCTGGCAGAGCTGAGATAGAGAACCCAATGTCCCTTTGGACCACAGGGGGATCCCACACTCTCACCTGGTGGGCTGGAGGGGCTGGGGCTCGGGGGCTGGTCTGCTCTGGTACATTTTGATGATGTTCCTGATCTCACGGCTGGGTGCAGGAAGCTTCTCAGGGCCTGAAGGCTTCACTACAGGTGGCTCCTTCTTTGGTTTTGGTGTCTCTTTCTTTGGCTTTGGCTCAGGAGGTGGCAGAGGGGAAGCAGGAGCTGTTTGGGTGACAACTTTTATCAACAGACCAGCAAAGACACAGAAGAAATCCCTTTATCTCACTTGATCTCCATTTTCTTTCCCTCTGATGCTGCCTGGCAATGGCCTGACATTCCTCTTTCCTCTCCTGTCTAGATGTAGACTCCCAGAAGAGTCAGATCCTTTCCTCCTCTGCCTAAATCCTGGCCTGATGTTCCTGGAAAGTTCTTCCTTGTCAACCTGCTTGAGTCTCCACTGCATAACATCTTACCTGGCTCTGGTTTAGGGACAGGCTTCACTTCTTTCCTCTTCTCCAGCTCCTCTTTTTTCCTCTTCTCCAGCTCCTCTTTTTTCCTCTTCTCCAGCTCCTCTCTTTTCTCCTCCTCCTCCTCCTCCTCTGTTGGCTGGGGTTTTGCTGGAGGAGTCCAGGTTTTGCTAGGTCTGACTTTCTTCACTCGAATGTGCTGCTCTCCTGTATAGAAAGGGGGACTTGACTAGTCAAACCCACACCAAAAACCTGGCACTGATGGCACAGTTCTCACTCTTGCCTCAGTCAGCAAAAACCTCTTTCCTAGAGTGAGGGAGAATGTGGCAGTCACATACCCAGAGATTTCTATAGAACTGGCCCCACAACAGCTCACAGTCTGAACTGTAGCTAGCAGAAGAGCCCCAAACTCCTGCACACACGTCACCAGCAGCTCCTGCAGGGATTAGCTGGATTCCAGACAGGGAGACAAGAACACCTGGGCATGCCAGGAAGGCTGCAGAGCAAGGTGTTATGATGAGTGAAATTCCCGAAGTAGCAGATGCTCACCCAGCTTCTGGAAGTACTCTTTCTTCTGCTGGAAGGTTTCCCGAGGACAGTCATCATCATCACTGCTGGAGAACTCCTCTTCCACATAGTCATAATCCTGCAGACAGTGCACAACTTGTTTAGTTAGCACCAGCCAGCAGTACCTCTGCAGTGCCCTTCACTCAGGGGTGATTTTGTCTCAAACTGTTCTGATCTAGAACCTCTCCACATCCAGGAGTGTCCCAATAGGTCAGTTTCTAACACAAGGAGCTCTCGGCCAAGCACAGAGAAGGGGGATTATGTTAGAGGCTCCATACAGCTTGCTGGAAGATAAAGAACTCAGAGTAATTAATTCTCCTGCAGCTTAACTGGAGATGAATTGGCCAGCCTTGCAGCCAAACCTCCACAGAGCAAAAGCCACTGAGATGTGACCCTTAAAGACTCAGCAAGCAGAGTTTGAAAGGTCTCAGTATCATCAGGAAGCACAAATCTCTGCTCTCCTCTCTGCCAAAGCACAGCCACGCACAGATGGACGCAGAGCAAACACCAGACACGGAATTCAAACCAAACCCAGCACGGTGTTTGTTTCTCATACCGGCTCTTTTGCCACAGCTGGTGGCTCTGGAGACCTTGGTGGTGTTGCAGCAGCCTGGCTGCTGGGAGGCTTCTTGGGTTTTGGGAGAGTGGCTGGGGCTGAGGCTTGTGCTGGGCTTGAGACTCTTGGCCTTGAGTTCTCCAGAGACTTTTGCCGCTTCTGCAGCTCCTGCTGCTGCTGCTGCTGGGAAATGCTCATGGCTTGAAGGGTCATCTGCTGGGCCTGGGGAAGGAATTGCAATGTCCATGAGCTCTAGGCTACACAAACCCAGCCATCAGCCACAGGCTGTCCTGTTTTTCCACTGTTAATCAATCCCAAAACATCCACATAGTGCAAGGCAAATCTCCCAGTGTGTGGACAAGGCATGCCCAGGGAGTCTTCTCCCACCTGGCCGAGGATGCAGAGCTCCTAACACCCCCCAAAGGCTCAGCTGCCAGCCTGGGACTGCCATGCACTCACAGGGCTTTGCACAGAAAGCAGAACACTGCAGACCTGCATCTATAGCAAATCCCAGCTTAAAACTCCATGGGAATTACAGCTGAATCTTCTCAGGGCCTGCTCCTCTCTCTGCTCCTCACTCACTGATGGTGCCTCAATGGTCCCAAAGGACACAAAGGGGCAAAAAGAGGCCTCCCAGTTTTGTAGTTTTAAATAATCCCCACTTTATAATGGGGATTAAAATAGAGTTCACCCCAGTGAGCAGAGGGTGACACAGAGCAGGCCCAAAGAGGAGGAGAGCTGGGCTTCCCCCTGCAAGGCACAAACACCGATGTGTTCCCCAGGTCCTGGGGCCTTTCCACTCACCATGAGCATGGCCTGCTGGTTGATAAAGGCTTGCTGCTGTGCTGCCAACTGGCTGGAATCTACAGCTGGAACCACAGGCTGGGGCATCACCATGGCTGTGGAAGACAACACACACGTCTTCAGAATCTAAAATCCTACAGGTGAATGTTCCCCACTGAGCCCCTCACACTGAAATGCACAGGCATCACTGACAGCCCCCTTCCACCCCTCTCCTCTGCAGTCACAGAAACACTGCTATTACCTGGCACAGGTGAAACCCCACCAAGCCCTGGCATCACGGGCATGGCTGCTGGCATCCCCACCATGGAGGGCATGGGCTGGTAAACTGGTGTTTGAGTCATTCCAGACAAGCCTAGAGGCAAAAGACCAAATGAACAGTGCTTTGGAGAAGCCCAAATGAGAATATCCTGAGCAACCCCAGAGAGCACTTCTGGTGCTCTCCACATGCACCAAACACAGCAGGACACAGCAAAGCTCAGGTGGAAAAAGGAAACCTAAGAAAAATGTGTGGCCTGCCAGATTTTAAATAGCAGTATCCAGACTCTGTTTCTGCAGCCTAGCTTTTGACACCACCATTCTTCATGATTAAGATTATAAATAATTCCTGCTTGAGTATGATTACAGAAGCTTTCTCTTGAGCACTGGGCAAAGATCTCTGGGGCTGGGACTGTCACACTGGTGTCTTTGCAGTGAGTGGCCTGGATGGCATTGTGTGTCATGGGGAGGAACTGTGGGAAGAAAGGAATTCCTCTGCTCCCAGCAGTCAAGTCCCATATGGGGTCACAAACAAACCCCACTGAGTGTGAAGCCAGCAGTGCAAGGGGTGTGGGGGTCAGACTCAGCTGAGAGGAGTCAGCACACAGCACAAATCTACTGAATCATTATGTCCTTACCAATGAGAATGGCCCTGGGATGATCATCATATACCTCACCCATCTAAGAAGCCACCTAAGTGACAAACTGGTCTCAGGCCAGTGATCTGTAATAGGGCTTGTCATGCCCCAGAGCCTCTCCAATAGCCAGAAGTAGTGCCTGTCTCAGGAATGACTGAACTGGATATTTCCCACCTTTCTGAAACTGCTGGGTGTGCTCCTACCCATGCAGATTTGTCAGTGCCATTAATATATTGGGGTTTTACTCCACCTTGCTGCAAATGCCAGAGTATTAGCGCCACAAAAATGAGGAAAAGTAAAGAAACCAAACACGCAAACCAGAACCTCTTCAGGGCTCAGACTTACTAACCCAAGGAGTAGCTACAGATGATGGAAAGTTCTGTAAGGAAGTAATAAAAAAGATTTAAACCACCCCCGATAAAGGCACCAACTGCTCTGTGAAAGCGTGGGGTGAATACATGACTTACAAATATCTGTCTAGGGAAGAAGGGTCTGGGTCAGAAACAAGCTACATGCTGCCTTGACCCCAAGGCCAGCTCAGAAGAGAAATTACAAGCACAACAAAGCAGTTCCCTTATCTAACACCTCTGCAAAGCATCTGTCTCACCTAGGAGGAGTGCAGCCTCTGCTAAAGCCCAGTGCTCTGCATAAACCAGCTGAGCATGCAATAATTAGCATTTAAGGGGCTCCCTGACTTGTGCTCACTGAAGGTTGTGCAGTCCCAGGTGTTCCCAGCTGTCCCCATGCCCTTACAGACCTGTAGAAGGAAAGATTCCTCTCTGTGTGGGTCCAATCTTCCCACCTCCTTTCATGCGCCTGGTGAGAATCTCCCTGCTCTCCAGATCCTGCACCAAAATAAACCCAAAACAGTTATCTGAGCTCAGAGGGACAGACTTCCCAGAGGGAAAGACATTCAAAGGCATGTCTGAGCTGAGCGGGGCAGCGAATAGGCAGGAAAAACTTGAAGATTTCACAGGAACTGGAGAGCTGCAGAGAGAAGGCAGAAGGGAAAATCAGGGCACTTACAGATACTCTGGAGCTCTGGTGCAGCACAGGGCTGAAGAGATCATCCACATAGTGATCCAAGCCCACAGGGGTCCTCAGGTCATCTCTAAACCTTGGATCTGGGAGCAGAGAGAAGTCTGGTGACAAGGCAGGTAAGAAACATTCCCCTGCCTCCAGTCTCTATTACTCACGTTTCAGAGCAGAGCTCTACAACGAGAAGAATCATCTGAATCCCCCTCTGCCCTGATGCCCTGGCTGGGACCCATCTGGCCCTTCCCTGTGTCAGCCACAGTCCTGGGCTAAAGCTCACCTGGATGGAGACCAAGAGGTTCTGGAGGCAGGCTGGGTGGGGGGAAGAGAGGGGCCTGGATACCTGGAGCAGGAGGGATCCTGTTGAAGAGGAAAATGGGATGAGGACCAGAGTGCTGAAAGATGGACCACAAGTGATGGGGCAGGAGGAATAGGTGGCTCACATGTCCAGGTCAGAGGAGTGGAGGATGCTCCTGTCCCTTTCTGGAGTGATGGGGTACTCAGTGGGGGCCTGGGAGGAGCTGATGAAGTTGCTGGTCTCCTCCATCTCTCCAATGAGGTCCAGCACAAAGTCACAGCCCAGCAGGTCCTGCCATGTGTTGCCAGTGAACATGGAGACAGACCACCCTCGAGTCTTCTTGTCACAGCCCCTGGGAGAGGAAAGGTGTCCAGGCAGGCAGGGGAAAGGGAGAGGGAGGAAAACATTACATTCAGTTTCTTCTTGCCTTGTCTATCCTTTACGTCCTTTAGATTTAGGGTATGAATCAACTATTACGTGCCCAGGGTTAGAAAAAAAACTAGAATCATTCAAGATTTGTCCTTTTTATCAATTACTTTTTTCTCTGAAGCTGCTCTCAGAGATCACACCAGTGGTTCCTCTGTTCCTAAAGAAGCCCATTGTTTATGGTTGAGGGTTGTGTTAAGGGTGAAGAAGGGAGCACAGGCTGGAGTGGGCAAGAAGTGACTATTCTACATGTGACCATATAAATCTCAGCCTGAAGACCAAAGCAGGCTGAACCTTAGAGCCGGTGACAGCCTGTCACACACCCCCAGCCCTGCTCCCGTCCTCTGGCAGTACCTTGCACTCAGGATCCAGGCTGCATACTGCTCCCCAGTCATCCAGGACTCCACCTCAGCTGAGAACTTCTCCTCTGGCACAGAGAGCAAAGTCAGTACCCACAGCCTCCCTGGCAAGACCCAAAGCAACACCCACATTCCATGGGACACAGGTAGAGCCCAGCTGGAAAGTTTCACACACTCCTGAGCAGGGCCACAGGGCTGTGGAGCTAAGACTCTGGCATTTGAGGACTGAAAGCTCATGGAAGGCTCCACATGAACACATTCACTTCCAAAATATCTGTTTCATGTCACTTCCAAAATATCTGTTTCATGGCACAGGTTGGCATTTCCAACCTGACAGGTTTGCTTGGGGATCACTCCACTCACAAGGAGCCAGAGTAGGGATGTTCTGTGTTCAATTCATAGAGCTGCTAGTTGCTCAAGAGGCAGCTTCAGGTAATATTTGAGAAGGGAGAAGGGTAGAAAGTACTTTTAACAAATACTGCTGCATGGGCTGTCATGAATAGCAGCCCTGCAGAGATGCACAGCCTGAAAAACCCTCTGTTGAGCAGGGCCCAGACCCAGGAGAATCTCATTCCTTCCCCTGAGAAGCAGGTCCCACCATGCCCAGACCTTGCAAGTTTTGGGTCTAAATTCAGATGCTTGTTTCCCCATGGTTGTACCAGCAAACAGTGTTCTGATCCACTTTACTTAGCTGAGGGAATTATTTCCCAAATGCTGATTACTGCACTGGAAAAGCCCTTAGAGACTAAAAGACAGCAGGAGGGCAGAAGACTGAGTTACCATTAAAGGTATGAACATCCAGCACCATCTTCCCTCTCCTCTGGTTTGCTGTCCACTCCAGCTGGGTGGGAGGGTAAGCCCGAGAGGGTGCAGGCTCTGTCTCTGTGCACTGAGCTGCCGTCAGCATCTTGCGCTGGCAGACAGCGCTGTAGCCCTCCATGCCATAGTCTGACACAAACCTAGGAGAAGGAGCTGCATGTAGCACTGCTCATCCCTCTTAACCCCTCTGTAAGCCTGCCTTGGCCTTTTCTCCTCTTACTTCAGCAGTGGCTTCTCCAGGGCTGGTGAGGGGCCAAAGCAGCTCAGCAGAGTGGCCATCAGCACCCAGCCTCGCTGGCTGTGCTCCGTGTCCGGGTTCCTCCAGGTCTGGGCAACCACCTGGCTGAAGATTTCATTGCGCAGAGCAGCATCCCCCAAACCCCTGCCAGCAATGTAGTTACCCAGCAGCACCTCCTGCCAGCCACGGAGACTCTGGTCACCGATGAACCGCAAAATCTGGAAGAATCCAGGGCAAGAAAGAGAGAACTGGAGCTGTAACTCTGTCCCAAACTGTGGTGTAGGGACTTGGAGACATCAGGAGCATACAGCCACACTGGGGTCTGTCTTCAGGTTTTTGTGCACCACCAAAGTGCTGGGCAATTTGGGAGGTAACAGTTATAGAGAGTGGATCCTGGCTAAAAGTCAAGGTGAGTTCAGTCTCTTCTGAGGTATGACTCAGAATTTGGTCTAGGGTGAAATATTTCCCCTTGGGCAGGGCTTAGACACACAAGTAAATGACCATAGGATACTTGCTACTGAGCTCACTGAGTGTTTAAAAGCCTTTGGTGCAATTAATATTATACCAAGTACTATGGGATGTGGTGGCTCAACACAGTCACTGAAGAAATTATTCAGCTTCTTGACTATGCATATTGCCATCTTCAATGCTTTTTTAGTTTGTGTTTCTCACCCTTAGGTACAGAATTATTTCTTTCATCCTCTACACTTCAATATATCGTGAATTACTTTTTTTTTTTTCTAAAATGGATGGCTTTGTAAAGAACATTTAAGCCTAACAACACTTCTAAAAACACTTAATGGTACCAAGTGTGTCAGAGATTCACTGAGAAAAACAGGGGATGGTGGTTGTTTAGTTCTCATGGAATTCTTTGTAGCAAATCCCTACTTCATTAGCAAGGGAGAAAAACTGCCTTTGATCTTTAGAAAAATAATAGTGTTCTGCTTAAACACAATCCTATTCACAAGATTTTATCAAAGCTTATGCTCTTCTATAATTGGGATCACAAGGACAAAACAAGAGACTGTTTTTAGGTATTAACTTTCTTAATGGGCTTATTTTAATTCCATGTAATTCCCAAAAACATGACTAGATTTACTTAGAAAATATCTGGAGCTCCATCCTATTTTAAAGAAGAAATATTGAGAAATATATGTTTCACATCCACAGAGATGAAATAGCACCATCCCCTTCACACAAACATTCTAGCGTGAGGGTGTGGTTCCAGGTGTACTTTTGCTGATGATAAAGTCCCTGCCCTTTTCCAGACTTTAAACAACAGTTCATTGTCCCCTGTGGGGTACTGACACATCTGTGAGCCCAAGGTGCAAATGAGATGTTTGCTATAAACCACATCATGGAAAAGGTCTGGGTTAAATGAAACTTTTTTATGACTGGCGGACAAGTAAGTGGTTGAGAAGACAGATTTCCCTTCTCATTGCTACTGAGTCTGGAATATTAAAGTTTAGCAGTGCTGTTCCTATATGTCCTGCCAAATTCTCAGGCTCCATCACCAAGCCACTCACTTTGATCCCAGTAGTCTATGGCTGGTCTGTGCCTCCTCAAAAACACAGCAACCTTAAGGGGCTGTGTGTGATCACTGTCAGTCTGCTCCAGGGCCTAGAAGGAGCAATTTATTCTGCTTTTCCAGCCCTCCATGTATTGTAAGAACAGCATCCACCACCAGCAACTTGTATAAAGTCTTCAAAACATTGTCTGTGCCCACCTGTTCTTCAGCAAGGTCAAGAACAACATCTCTTACCAATTTGTTAATCTCAAGTGCACTCTCCTGGTGTTCAGCATCCAGGTGGGTTAAGGGGTGCTGCAGAGGCTGACCAGGGGCAGGGAAATCTGGCTTCTACAATGAAAGAAAAAAAAATAGAAATATTTGCTCCTGGTGTTGCTAAAACCAGTGTGTCTGCCCACAGGGGAGGCAGTGAAGAGAGATAAAAGGAGTTCCCACCTGGAAGTGTGATTTGATGAAGGAGGAGAAGGGATAGCTGTTGATGGTGGGTGGGAGGGAAAGGTCATCCTTAACCTTGACTTCTGGGGGCTGTGTCTCTGTTATCTGGTTGGCCTGTGCTTGGTGTCGACCTGCAAGGGAAGGAGGTCTGGCGTGGTGGCAGGACACAAACAATTCCCACAGCAGCTCCCAGCTGCCCTGCACCTCTCCCTGCCGAGCCCCTGAACCAGCCCTGGCTGCAGGGACACCCAGCCCAGCCCTGCAGCCTCAGACCCCCAGCAGGGACAGCCTCACCTCCCTGAGAGCACAAGGACTCCCTTCAGGAGGGAGATTTTACAGCTCTGAGCTTTCTGACTCTTCTCCCCAGAGAACACCTGGAGATCCGTCTGCTCTGCAGCATTTACAGGCAGGAAATGCTGAGCCCATACAGAGATACTGCTGACAACAGCCCAGTCCACAAGGAAATGAGAACTCTTTGTAATGAGGGATTTCTCATGGATAAGAGAGGAGCAAACCACTAAATGAAGGGATTTCTCAGTGCAGCACAGCTCCTGTGCTGTGTCCCCTGATGCTCTCCAATCCTCCCCATTTACATCCCATCAGCTTTCATTTCCAGCAGTTTCACTGTTCCCTGAGCCCCTCTGGCTTACATTGCTCACTAGACCAGCTGATAGTCCCTGGAGGGCTGTGCCATGAAACGAGAGCTATTTGGGAATCCAGCACAGTCTGCTCCAATTCACCAGACTTTTCTGCCTCATTGTCTCCCTTACTGTCCCCCACAGAGGGCCACAGGCACAGCTGGCTTTGGGTTTGACACCACAGAGAGAGAGAGAGGCAAATTCTGCCTCAACCTATTTGCAGCTTAAATATTTGTACAGAGAGCTACAGAGGAAACACAACTGCCCAAAACTTATTGCTCAGGGTCAGATCAACAGCTTGTGAAATTATTGCAGTTAGTGGTATTTTGGTGATTTGAAAACCAATTGGTGCATCCCTAAATTGCTGAATTAATACATACTTAATTTGTTACATTGTTACATCCTTAAGTTATTTTATTGTTATTTCCTTAGACTGATAAGTTGTTACATCTCAAGTTATTACATTGTTCCAAAATCAAGCTGTTACCCTGTTTCTCCTTCCTTCTATTTTAAACTTCGTTTTGAGGAAATAATTTTTAATGAAACCTGAAAATATTTCTTTGAAATTGTCAAAACTGTCATTTTCTTCCCCTTCAATTTCCTTAAAGATTTTAGAGCAGGTAAAAGATGGGTTTAAGTTTTTCCACCCCAGATACTCATCACTACCAGAGACCTGGGTTCATTAAGCAGTTTGCTGTCACCTAACTTTGACCAAAGAGTTTTGGACCATCCCTGCCATCAGTTCTACCAGCTGAAAAATTAACAAAGATACTGATTTTCAAGTTGGTGCTCTGCCCCCTGGTCCAAGTTGCTTTTCCTCCCTACCATGTCAGGAAACAACATCCATGGTACCATTTGCCTTTGTCATATTTACACTGCAGTGATAGTGAAGCAAATCCAGCCCAGTGACAGGCAGCAGGGAGAAAAAAGACATACATTGGTATAAACAAGGAAATACTCAGTAAAACAATGCAGGAAAGGGAGGGAAGGAGGAGGATTTCTCACCTTCAATAAAGTGCAGGAGGTCTGCGAGCTCTGCAGGGATCTCCAGCAGCCCCACGTCCTGGAGAGAGAAACAGAAACTGGCTGCCAGCAGAGAGAAAACACACAAAACCCCTGAGCTGAGACTGGGTGAAACTGCCTTGGAAAAGCTGCCAGGACAGGGATGGAGCACCTGAGCCAAAGCAGGGACTTCTGCCTCCACAACACTCAGAACCATTGCAAATGGCGAGGTATTGCATGAACACAGCTGTGTGACATGGGCCAGCAACGGAGGGGAAGGGGAGCAATTCCTAAATAAAAAATCAACTGCCACAAGGGGAAGGACAGGAAATTGCCTTTCTTTGACTCATCCCTCATTCCTATCAAGTGTGGTATATTGCACTGTAGAGACTGCACCTGAAGGGTAAGGGCCATTTCCTCCTGCACTTTCCTGACAGTTTTCTTTTGATTTTTCAGTATCCAAAAGTGCTACAGAATAAAATGAGATCTGATTCTCATATTTGATATATGTCCTAAGAAAGCTCAGATCTCTACCAGGGTAATCCAGATGAGAATCTGGCCAATGAATCTTAATTTATCACTGGTTTGCACCTTGCACTACTGCAGGATAGGGAGCAGATGGGCCAATAGAACACAGTGTATCAGCATCACTGCATGTAAAGTCAGCTCAGGGCATTTCAGACAGAACTACTCAGATTAAGGCACTATAAAACCAAGCCAAAGTCACAAAACTGAAGCTTTTGGGGGCTTTTAGTTTCTTTTTTTTGGTGTTTTTTTGTTTTTTTTTGTTTTTGGTTTTTTTGTGTGGTTTTTTTTTTTTTTTGGGTTGGGGTTTTTTTTTGTGGGTTTTTTTTTTTTTTTTAAGATCTGCATAGTAACGCCTCTTGTCACCAGCATATTATTCTGACATCTCTCTCCACTTAAAGACAGATTCACAGCACTTTTGATCAGCTTGATTTTGGTCATAAGATACTTTACTTCAAATCTGGCTTTTCAATGGTGTATTCAGGAAGTGAACTGTGAATTCCACAGTTCTGGATCCACACCTGAGGAAACAGGTGATACAAGAGCACCCAGGGCTAATTTTTCTTGTTGTTACTGAGAGATCTACACAGAATTGTGGATAATATCAATTCAGATTCCCTTGATATAGACAGTGCAGAAAATGTGTGTCCAGACTAGACACATCAGTAACAGTATTAGTTAGAAGTGTTGATACAGGCCAAAAGTGTTACAACACCTTTAATACATCCCTTCCTCTACATCAGCTTCTGTTAATATATTTATGCAGAAGTGTCTCATTCCCACCCCTCACAATAGAAGATGATCACCAAAAATAATCTTCCCTCCACCTCTGAAGACGAGGTCCAGTGCTGTGAGCAAACACAGTGCTCTGACAGGACTGGCTGACAATGCCTGGCTGTGCCCAGAGCAAGGGAAACACTGAATTAATGAGATGTTTCTGTATTAGGAGGCCCTTTATATCATCTAACCTGCAATCTGTACCAGGTTCCAGACACACGTGTGCCCCCTCTAGATGTCCTGGGCTGAGGAGGCACAAGGGAGGGAGAACACCTGGAGAACCTGAATTTTTTTGATCTCAGACCCTCCCAGACCATTTGGCAACTCACCATTCCTTGGCTGGGACTATTCTCTTTGTCAGCACAGGCCAGGGAGTTCCTTCTTTGTTTCCTTTCCTCTAACTCCTGCTGTTAGGAGATGAAAAGGGGATAGAGGGTGGGCAGAGATGTGTATGAAGCAAATTCCAGCTATTTTGGGGGCAGATGCTGAGGGTGGCCAGGAAATGGTGTCTTGCTCCAGCAGATAAAATGACAGAACAGCTACAGAGCCTTCTTGGACTCCAACACAGTGTGTTGGGAAGAGGCTCCCCAGGCAAAGACCTGAGCTTGGCAGAAACACCTCCTGCCCTTCGTGACACAATTCAACAGCAAGAGCCTCCAGCACCTGCCCAGCATCCTGCCACACCTTCCCTTGCTGAGCATTTGATGTGGCTCAGGACAAAAGCACCCAGCAGCTGCCAGAAACATTCACCCACCTCCTTCAGCATCAAAGCACCTGATAACAGCCTGAACAGGACAGATGAACTTGTCCATGGAGAGGAAATCCTTTAGAAAGGTGGGAGGGATACCAAAAGCTAAACTCACTCACAGCTCTGCCCTTTCCCATCCATTCTATTGCTCCCCAGCCTCAGCACTCACCTGACTCCTGCTGGGAGATGGGGAAGGAGGGTCTCTGTTTCCTTCTCTGCCTCTCTCCTGCCTGTCAGTGGTGCAGAGCACTGTGACTACATGGGAGCTTATGAGGGCTGGGCTGAGAAAGACAGTGACAAGCTAAAGTCCAAAGGGCAGGGCTGTAGGGTGGGGAAAGGAGGAACTTTGTAGCAGGTGAACTTTGAGGCCTTTCCTGCTGCTACTGCACCTCAGCAAACAAACACTGAAGGAACAGAAACAGATTCAAAAGAGCTACACTGTTGTGGTTACCTGGGAGAAAGAAAATCTGGATCCTGCCCAAGTGGGAAGGGCAAGAAACAGAACAGAAACTCAAGCTGTGCTGGACATGGCAAGAGAGGATGCACCTCTGCAGGTTTGTAGCAACACCATGGTCCTCAACTCTCTGCCCCACCATGCCAGGAGCTGTGCTGGGTCCTTCCCTTGTAAAGCTGATAGCTATGAGATATCACTGCTACTCTAAGGATGAGTGGTCTAAATTCCTCTTTCCAGATTTATTTTAATAGTAAGGAAATGGCCCTTTAATAATAAGGAAATTACCCTTAGCCTTCAGGTGCAATATTTTAATTTTCCAATTTTATTTGAATAGTTTGTGCAGAATACATTATACCCATTCAACAGAACCATGGCTCTCTCCTGGACACTATTTTCCATTTTCTCAAAAACCTACCATCCTGTTCTCACCCCAGCTGATTTCCAAGAGGCCAAGGGCTTGAGCAGCCTGAGGCAGCTGAAAGGGATCAGGGGAGGATCATTGTGGACTGAAAAAATCTTGCAATTCAATCACCATCAGTAATTGAACTGGGCAACAAAAAAAGCAAGATGAATGACTCCTTCCAGCTTGAGCAGAACAGCAGCTCTGAAGACCACAGATGGAGCTAGCTCTTGCCTCATGTAGGGCAGCCTGGAGTGAAGTCTGGAGAGGCTACCTAGAACAGAGGCTACACAGAGTTAGAGAATAAAGTAGGTATTCATTAAAGGCCTTCAACAGATACACCTTGGGCAGTGCAGGAGCCTGGCAGAGGCCACACCCAAGATGGACAATGGTCATGACTTTTTTAGACAGATATAAGTTTGGTCTTTTTGCATATCAGAGGTTAATTGTCCAGTTATAGCTTCAGGTAACAAAGTCACATTTCCCCAGTTTGCTTTCCCCAAACAGATGTTTATACTTTCCAGGCCTGAGGCTGTGATGGTGACCCTGGTTCTCAGGCCTGGAAGGATTGTTTTGTCTGATCAAACCATCAAGAGAGCTTATTCACACCCTATATGGAGTTTAGAGTTATACCCTGTGCAGTACAGGACCTGAACAATATAAAAGCTAAAACTTAAGGCATCATTCTCACCCTGGCTCACACAGCCAGACCCATGAATCAGCTGTGTTTGCAACACCTGTGCCAATTCTGCATGTCATTTAGAGAGAGAAGGCTCCAGCCTCTCTAGTTCCTTCATTTGACTACATTTATGTCAGGCAGAGGGTGGTGGACACCTCACTGGGTGAGGATACCTCACCTCACTTCCAACAAACCTTCCAAAGCCATCCCTGCCCTGGCCTCACCCAGTCCCCAGCTCACTCTGCTTAGGGCAGAAACAGCCCCTCCTGTACACCTTGCTCTGTTGTTACCTGGCAGCGCTTCCTCCTTTGAATCAAAGGTCTGGAGATTATAATCATGCTTTTAAATTGCACCAAAGTCTTCTTCAGCCTCCTGTAACGCTTCCTAGAAGATAAGAAAAGAATTGTCTGATGAGAAAAGAATTGTCTGATGAGGGACACATCAGCCACACAAACACACAGAGAGCAGGCCAGGAGCCAGCGTGAGGAGGGGTGGGGACATCCCCACCTGGCTGTCCCTTGCAAGGCCAAAGGACTGTCTCTTGGCTGGCCTTTGGCTCCTGACCTTGCCTGGTAACCTCGGAAGTGAGCCTGGATGAGCGTGACCTTCTCCTGGAGGCGCCGGCGCTGAAGGAGGCGTCGGAATTTCCTCTGCAGAGTGACAACAGCCCAGCTCTGCCTCTGCAGCCATCGTCTCTCCAGCAGCTGCCTGCCCTTCTCCTTCAGAAACACCTGGGCAAAGGCAGCAGCTGCTGAGCCACGAGGGAAACAGCTTCCCCCAGAGCTGATCAATAATAAAAACTGCTGGTTTATCCCTTTGTAGCCTTTAAGGGCTCTTGCTAAGGAAACTGGGGAGGGCAGGAGGCACAGGTGCACAGGACAGAGATGGATGCATTTGTGGTGGACAAGGAATCAGGGAGTGATGAAGGTTAGCAGGTAGCAAAAGTAGAAGCCCAGGAATGTTGGGTATACGAAGGGCTTGGCCATGCTACAATAGCCTGGAGCTGGAATGTCCTGTTAATTTGAAGTTCTAAAAATTCCTCCTTAGTACTTGAGACAAGAGGCAAATGTGAGAGGGGAAGGTGTGCAAGGCCCTCCCTCTGTGGGCAGAGGCTGAGCTCCTCTCCTGCTTTGCCAGCCTGGGGATGGGTGGGTGAGGCTGTGCAATCCAGATGGGATTCTCTGTAGGCATCACCTTTGTCACCCCAATCTGATAGAGATCCGAGGGGTTCCCCAGCACGTGAGCCAGCACTGCTGCACAGCCTTCTCTCTGCTGCAAGCTGCTGGGCCTGCTCCCAGCCAGGAGCCCATACCTGCCACAGGAGGAGCGGCTGTGACAAAACCAGGGCTGGCGGAGCCCTCAGAGAGCAAATCCTCCAGGGCTGGGGCATCCCAAGCCAGGACATCTCTGTACCTGGCCAGGAAGCTCTGGAATGGCAGATGGACTGGGAATCCCTCCTTTAGAATGTGGATGGCCTCCAGTATCCCGGAGTGTCGCAGCTGACAGTTGACATATTCCACATCAAAGACATTTGACAGCTGCGAAGATAAAGAAGACAAAAAACACAAAACAAAACAAAACCAACAAGAAACAAAGTCAAATTAAAGAAAGGAGACAGAAGGCAGGGAGTTTAGAAAGGGTCTCCTTCTCTTGTCCTGTCCTTGGATTGGATCCTGCCATGGGCTGTGGGCCATGGAACACAAAGCCCAAGGAATACTTTGGTGTCCAGCTGACCCTGGTTCTGCTCCTGCACAGGGGAGGGTGGGACACAGAATGGGGAAAAGTCTCAAGCTATCAAAGGAAACAAAGAAATTTACATTCCAGCTGTGAAAGGAGAGCTGATGGAGAAGAATGAAGGAACTGAGGGACTCCATAAGGAGGTCAGGGTGCTGCCCTACCTTCCTGGGATTAGGGGTGATGCATCGGATGAAGAAGGCATGGCTCCTGGAAAACAGAAGGAAGAACCTTGGATCACCTCCTGCATGCTGACCCTGGAACACTTCACACTTCTGTGTGCCAGCAGCTTCTCTCACCCTCTCAGCTTGGCTGTGAGGTCCTGCAAAGACTGCTGGAACTTGGACACCAGTGTGGAGGCCTGAGGCCTGAGCCCTCTGCCCCTGCCCCCCAGCTCCCTTCGTTGACTATAGGCAGCTTTAGCCCTCTGGAAAATGTGAGACACCACCTGCAAAAACAAAGAAATTACCACAACTCACTGAACTATGTGGAAAGAAGAATCTCTTCTACCTGAAACGTAATGGGGCCATTTTCACTTGTCCCTAGCAGTGGCAGGAATGCAGCTGCATCCTCAGCAGTCTCTGTGTTTTATATATAAACTGTGGGCAAAGATAATCTGCCCAATTCCCAAGTAAATTCAGTAAAATAAAACTTGTGGCTTCTCCAGGTTCTCCTGACACCTGTTCAGCAGCTTTCTGCCACTCACATAAAGACAATGAGTGGATCATTGAGTGTCTGCAATAGAGATCTTCCTCCTGACCCACTTCTGTACCTTGAGGCGGCTCTGGGAGAAGATATCCAGCACCTCTGGCCGCAGCTGGTCACGGTTTTTATTGAGAAACTTGTGGACCTGCAGAGGCAAAGTCTGATTTAAAGCACCATTCAGACCACTCAGACAGGCAATCACCCCTGTTACACACACTGGGACTGGGGACAGGCAGCTGGAGAGATGGAACAAGGGGAAAACCCTGGAGAATGAAGCTGGTTCTGCCTACTGCCACCAGGGTAGAGAGGACAATGACTTCTGCTTCGAGAAGGGATTCTTCCTTTTCTCCTTTTCACCCAGCAGGCTTTCACCTCTCTTTTTTATTTTTTCCCAGCAGCAAGAGCTTTCCTGCATTTCCAGGACTCTGAGGTTGTTGTGTCACTGAGGATAATTCCTATTTTGCTTCTGCCCAGAGGCAGCTTAGTTGGCTCTCTTAATAACAATCTCCTCTCTTCTGATAAACTGATGCTCTAGAGGGAAGTGCAGTCACAAGGGGAGAGCTTTGGTCACAGAGCTGGTCCATCAGGACACCCACAGCTTGTCCCCAGGGTGGGTTATTTCTCCAGCTGCTCTCAGCTCCTGACAGCTCACCTGGTAGGTGACAGGGCCAGCGTAGTGCTGCACAGTGAACTCTGGCAAAGGCAGCTTGGGCTTGGTGTACCAAGGGCTGTTTCCATGGTGGTAATGACACTTCTGGAGGAAAGTGTGGTCTGTGGCCTGTAAAAGAGGTTTCCTGATGCTGCAACACTCTCAGTACGCTGAAAAGTCACTGTTCAACTGAAAGTAAACATTGAATACTTCTGCAATCATTCTGGAAAGCAGCCTCACCTTAACCATCCTTTGAAGGGGATCCCATGAGAGGCTGAGAGCTCCTCACCTGAATCAGGGATGTCTGGTCATCCAGGATGCACAGGATGCCGTGGGGCTTTGCAGTAAGGAAATCCAGGCACAACTCACTGCACATCTTGGAAATAGGAATCCAAGCTAACTGCTCCTGGCTGTATTCCTCCTGCATGTTAAAGGCCAAATCCAGCCATGCAAACAAGGACAAATGGAGAGAATTATCAGAAGGATTTGGTTATTTATCAGGAAGTTACTGTTTCACTGCTGTTAGGAACTTGCCTAGAATTGTCTGGTTTTGTCTCATGGAATTTCTTCTAAAGCCACAAATGCTTTTCCTGATTTAAGAGAAGAAGGCTGCTAAGCTGAGTGATAAAGTGAACTGTAGAAGTCAACAAGTCTGATAAACACACTTTCATCCCCAGAACATAAGTGGTACAGAAAATGCTACAAAGAAGCCAAACAGGCTTTAAAAGTGCCCACTGAGGTCTGGGCTCTTTGACCCTGACCAACTCACTTATAAAATCTGGAAAAGGGAGCAAGGCGCTGACAAAATCTCCTTCCCTTAATTTAGTGTAGAATTAATAAAAGGTATTGAATAGGCAACTCTATGGATATTGCCTAAGAGGACTATTCAGTTTCCTGTTCCCTGCTGAGGGATACTCTGAGGCTGACTCAGCTCAGTCCATGTGTGCTGGCTCAGGGTGGTGTGAATTCCACTGAGCTCCACTCACCTCTTCCTGGGCAATGACAGTCTGGCAGAAGAACCACTGGAGGTGCTCGTTGGCAAAGTTTATGCAGAGCTGCTCTAAGCTGTTCACCCCCAAATCCTGCAAAGACAAAAAGGGATCATCCCTTCCAAGGCCCAGGGAGCTGTGGCTCCCTGTAAATGCTGCACAGGCTCAGCTGAGCTGAGCTGCTGCTTCTGGCCAGTGTGAATGAACCTCAAGAGTTCAAACCATCTTCAGTCTGGTTTGCAAGCTCTTAGCCTGGCTTACTGACTAGGCTGAACAGCCAGAGGTGAGGCAAGCTGTGAGGGAGCATAAGGAAGGGAAGATTTACTCTTGGATGCACAGCCCCACCTCTGTATTCCATTGCTTTCAGCATTTATCGGGGCACAGGTTTTAACAGGAACCCTAAATAAAATACTGCAAGGCCTGGGTGAGAGCATGCCCTCACTGTCCAGGCCATAGCAAAAGAACATGAAAAATAACCTCAAACCCATGGATGTCCACAATGCCCACAGCACAGTCAGACTCCCAGGGAGCCAACCACTCATTGATCCTCAGCAGCAGCCACTCAAAGAGCAGGTAGTACAGAGCCTTGGCAATGGAGTCCCTGAGTGAGAGGGGGGAGAAGAACCAGTTACTGCAAAGACAGCACCTCTGGGTGCATCTCACCCACCCAGACATCAGCAGAAGTCACCTGGCATCAATGGCTCCTTCTACAGACAGAGGGGTGAAAATCCGATCATAAGATGTAACCTGGATACATAAAGAGACAGGATTTTCTTTTATCTCACAAGGAAGTCAACCCACTTAATAAATGGATATGTTTTTTCTACTTGGCTGAGAATTTACCCAGGTATCAAAAGAAAACTAAACACAGAATTTTGCTGCCAGAGGTGAGAGTCAACTGGCCAAAGTGATAAACCTGAGGCCACTCATGTCAGAAAAGAGCCCTGCCATCTTTACAGAGCTGCCTTGAGGGGCTCAGCCCATCCCAACCATTTTATTCCTGCTGTTACCTCCCAGATTTTGAGCCATTTAAGTTTAGGACAGTGGGGCAGGACATTGCATGCTTCAGGAAGAATGAGAAATCACCAGAAAGGGACTCACAGTGACACGGTGAGTGACAGCACTCTGCAGGAGCTCTGCTGAGACACGCAACAGATTGGCCACAATCTGAATCTCAGTGTCACTGGCGATGGCTGCGTGTTCAAAGGATTCTTTCTAAATAATAAAGTGTTCTTTATTATATATGTTATAGATACATATTATAATATTGGCTTTTTTGTAAATATTAAAATGGATTTTATATGTGTAGTGTTAAAGTAACTTTGTAATAATGATATAGTTTTTATTTCTGTTGTTGATTAAGCTTAGTGAAATAGCTGCTTGTGTTAAAATGCCTCCTTAGATGGGAAAATATCCAATGAACACAGGATGAGGACAACTGCTACAGATACACCATCAGCACTCACCATCTGAAGACAGCGTGGACCAAAGCCCAAAACTGAAGATAACATTAAAAATGGACTAAAACCACAACCAAGGAACACACATGCTCTAAAAAGGCAGACCCAAGGAAAGGCCATGTAGAAATATGTAAACTAGTTTGGGGAAAAGTTTACTATGCATAAGGCTGACCTAAGGGAAAGGTATTTAGGGGTATCACTGAAGATAACTGTGTGTTCTTGGCTGAGAGCCAAGATGAACCCAGCCTTTATAACATTTGCTCTGTGGTCCTTGTCTCTTATTGTCCTTTATTAAAATTTTAAATTTTCACAGGAGAGTGAACATGTTTTTCACATATATTACTATCTATATTACTATATATTATAGATAGCAACAATGGATGGGATACAAGGTCCCACTTGTATAAATATTCTCAACAATACCTCAGCTGCACAGAGCTGGTCGCAGCCTGAGTAGAACACCAGGTTAATTTTGGCTCCTTAAAAAGCCACCCAAGCTCTAATGACCTTCGGTTGCCTCCCCTCTTCTGTCCCTGCCTAGACCAATCTAGAGCCCAACACTGAAAGGACAGAAAAGTCTTCAAAGATGTCATCCTCAGTGCCACCACATGGCACAACAGCAATATTCAGCACAAATATCCCACTGCCAAGCAGTTGGGGTTACTGTACCTCATAGGAGGTAAAGCAGATGTTCCCCAGCTGCAGAATGGCAGCCAGGACAGCCCAGGTGGAGTTCAGCTGATCATCGGAGAGGCTGATTCCCTCCAGAGCTTGCACCAAGACCAGAAAATCCTGACTGTCCTCCTTCCCCAGGACTTCACATGCTCTGCCCTGAGAGAAAAGGGACAGATAATCGCCTTTAGCCTCAGGCAGGGGTTAAGCCACCATCAGGAATCTTCGGAGAAGTAGTTCAATCTTTTAAGGACTGGAGGAATCTGAAGAGATGAAAGACAGCATTAGTGGAAACTCAGCATTTGTGAGGGGCCAGTGTCTTTACCCTGTGGAGTTTTGAGATTTAGATCTCTCTTACCCACACAGGCCAAGTTTCTGCTGGAATTCAGTACAAGCTCCCCAGGATGCCCCTGCCTGCTGCTGGGGTGGAACTCGAGAGAAGTGGCACCTGAGGGGACTCCCAAGTAAATCATGGCAGAGCTGCCCCCAAAATGGTACCAGATGGGGTTCTGTAAACCCAAAGAGCCACCCAGGGTCACAGCTTGTCTCATCTCGGCCACAGAACTCCACTACAACATGGGCTCATCACTCCTCTGCTTCTTTTTTTTTCTCTACAAGAGGACACTCCTATCAGCTGTGTGTGACCCTAAAGGTCACAGAAGTCCTGGGTCAGGGGGTTCTGCAGAACCTGTTTGTGTTCAAGGGCATTCTTTGACCATAGTTCCCAGCTCTCAGCAGATTTTGGTGAGACAAGGATGAGGTCCAGGCAGCCCTCGGGCTTCTTCTGGCCAAGATCCAAGACAGATTTTGTCAGTCTCTGATAACTCTTTTGTGCATAATCTGATCTTTTTCCCTTGCCCTCTCTGCAGCAGGCTGGGATATTCCTGTTATTATCACCTTGAAGACTTTGCATTACAATGCTTTGCCAGCCCGGAATCATTAATCACCCTTAAGGGTGGGCCCTTAATTAAGGGAAATTAAGGGCTGGGCCCTTAATTGCCCTCCATCCTAGAGCCATTAATTACTTGTCCATTCCTCCCCTGAAGGTGAGGTGATTGCAATCACTATCGAGGATTCCTCCTGACCGAAGCTGCTGAGAAGAATTTGAATTTGCCACCTGGGAAAGCTGACTCACGTTGAAATAGGAAAAATTTCTTGCTATTGGTGTGACCTCCTTGATTATGGAAAACAATCTTTAAAAAAAAACTCAAACAAAACCCACAGCCACATTAAAAAAAAAAAGTTCCACGATTGTGACTCGATGTAAGTCTGACAAATTAAATTTAAATAATTGCAATCAGCAGTATATTTCAGTGGTTTAAAATCTGCGCCCACTGACTCTGTCAATAAACGAAGTGTTTTGCAGATGATAGAAAGAAATCCTCCCTGCTTTTTGCAGTCCCGCAGTAAATTGCAAATGCAAGGAAAGGCAATAAGAAAAGGGGTGTTACACCACACGATGGAGCCATGAGTCTACACACGACACCTCGTTAAAGTCCGTCCTTTTAGAGTAGAAGGGGCCTGAAAAGTGAGAAAATGATCACAAAAGAGACAAAGATGTTGATTCTTAGATAGGTATGAGAAGGAACAGAGGATGAGAAGGATCAGAGCTGACTTTAGCATAGTCCTGAGAGTCCTTTTTAGGAGAGCAGAGTGTTTTGGTGCCTCTCTAACCAAACAGAAGGGATGCCTGGACCATTTCTCTGTGCCAGCTGCTGCAGAGCACCCCAGCTCACTCACCTGGTTCAGGTAAAAGTAGGACTCTGCCTCCTGCAAGTACATCTCCTCTTTCTGCTCCACGGGCAGCCCTGCCAGCAGCTCGTAAAACACGTGGTAGTTCCTCTCACCATGGGCCTGATGGGACAAATCCATAGAGTTGATCCATATCCAGCCCCAAACCCCTCCAGAACACACTCACAGAGCAGGATCAGGTTTCCCACTGACACCTTAAGAACATTCCATCTGGGAGAATTCCTTTTCACACAGCTCTAATATTTGACCATTTCCACACTCCAGACATAAAGAAAAGCTAATTGAGGGAAGATTCAACTTTCAGTAATCCCTAATAAGTGGGTTAATTCAACCTGTTTGAGACAGAGAAACCTATTTTATTAAAATTAAAGAAGTGATCACCCTGTGCTACATGAAGGGGACCTAGTTCTTGCTGGTAGAAGAAATGGAAAGCAATTTTCATGCTTATTTCCACCTCTGTTTTTTAACAGTAAACTCAAGACTAAATGTTAATAAGGGAGAGGGGGACCACTGGTCCTCACCTGAAACACCACACGAGACTTCTCCAGCAGGTACTGGGAGATGGATGTTCCCACCACAATGCCACTGAGCATAAAACAACAGTTCTTGTCAGAACCTGGGGACAGGTTTTCTGCAGACAAGAACGATTTTAGGGACATAATCCACATGAATTTCCAAAATATTTTGACAAAATTGTGGGACTTTCAGGGAAACCAAGCAAGCACAGAATAAGAAGGATAGTCCTAACATTGGTAGGAATAAAGCTCAATTCTCTTAACAGTCTGAAACAACCATCAGAGTTCCACAGTGTCTGTACCTGACCTGTGAGTGCAAGTGATGGTTTGCTAAGTGACCTAGAAGAGCAGCTGAACAGCAATGGGACAAAGCTTCCTGCTAGTATGAAATTATTCAGTGAGGATGAAGGTCAGCTGTGAATAAATGCAGACAGACCTTACAGTGCAGAGGGAGTGAGCAAGAAAATGGCTCATGAAGCCCACTGTAGGCAAATGTGAAGTGATGGGTACAGACCCAGTTTCACATAACAGATAGGCTCCAATTTAACCATTAGGACTGAGACCTGAGGGTTATGATAGTTCCATGAAAGAATCAGCTCAGGGCTTGGCAACAGTCAGGCAAAAAACTCAAACAAACCAACCAAATGCAGAAGTTAGAAAGGAGGCAGGCTCAAAACAGAAAGGTGTTTTTCACAGAACTGGTTAGACCTGTGGAACACTTGAAGGCTGTTGCAGAAACATCAAGTTTGTAGAGCCCAAGAGGAAACTGGAATATCTCAGGAGACTGAGGAAAACTCCTGAGCTGCTGCAAATATTAAAGAGCTCAAGTGTTTTTAGGGAAAAGCATTGTTTGTGTTTGGGCTGTTCTTGCCCCAGGCAGTGCTTGAGGTCAGTGCTGAGGACACAGCAAGGTATCAGATGGGTCCTTGGTATAAACCAGTTCAGCCATTCTTATGTTCTTAATTTAACTCATCTTGAGAACAAAGATCTGTTCTTTTGGGAGGAAACACAAAAAAAAAAAAAAAACCAAAATAGGGGTGTAAACTCACCCTCTTCCTACCCTGATGATAACAAGAGTGAAGGGGAGGGAGGGTTAATGTGTGAGCACTGCTCCACCTGGTCTCACCCAAACACCCCTTGGCAGCTGGAGGGACCAGAGGAGATTTTTGAACTCACTGTCGAAGGTGGATATCCAGCAGCTTTCCAAAACGGCTGGAGTTGTCATTGAGGATGGTTCTTGCATTTCCAAAACTCTCTAGGATGGGCAGGACACTGCAGGGCTGTAGAGAAAAGAGGACACTTCACTAGCAATCACAGTTTTTAAACTCAGAAGAGTTTATGTACCTTTCAGTTTGGAAAGATAAACAAAGAATAGGACTTCACTGATGTAATTCTCACATGGGTAAAATAAGTATTTTTAAATGTATCCTGGTATCATTATCTCTAGCCAGTGGTGAGTTGCTCTGTGAGCTCTTTACCCTCACTGGTATAATGTTTCCCTTTACTTCTGCTCTGTGTTTGTTCAGCTTCACCTCCCAGACTGCTGAAAGCTCTCCATGCCAGCTACCAGCTCTCTGTTCAAACAGATACAGCACTTCTCACAGCATCAGATCTCCCAGGTATTAAAATACAGAACTGCAAATACACCAGCTCTCCTCGAGTCTTTGTGGGAGCTTCACATTGGATCACAAACCCTCCCAAGCCCAGCCAAAGAAATAACATCAGCAGCAGGGCTTCTGTTCCCTGTCCACCCCCACAGCCTCCAGCCAAGCTCACTTGCCTGTTACCTGTCTGATCCTGTGGCTGTCAGATCCCTGGTACAGCGTGGTCAGGTATTGCACAATGGCTTTGGCAGCTTCTGTTTTACCTGATCCACTGTGCCCACTGCAGGAGCGAGAGGTGGAGAAGTTGGCATCAAAACAGAGGTGCCTGATCTGGGCACGTCAGAGGCCCTGCTAAGCAAGTCAGAGGGGTTGTGCTGATTTACAGCTGAAGATCTGTCACCCATTCCTTGAAACACCGAGACAACCTGGCCAAATGGGCCCAAATAGGATTCCCCTGGGGAATATCAGGGTGAAATAAAAATCCACCTTATTCAGGTTCTCCACAGGCAGCCCTCACATAAAAGCCAAAAGGATCAACTTACAGGCAGTGAAATACAAAAGTGAAACTTTTACATCATGCAATCCAAGGGCCTCCAACAAAGCCCTTCACCTCCTACCTGATGAGGACACACTGCTCCTGCCCTGACGACTGGGACAGCGTGTAGGCCATCTCTGCTATGGCAAAGATGTGTCTGCATGGACAGAAAGAAACCCTCACTAACTGACCCCACATTTCCACCCCACAAGTGCAGCACTGACCAGGGATCTACATTAGAGATGGGCCAGTGTCTTCATCAAAGAAACCTGACCTAAAAATCACAGAATGGTTTGGGTTGGAGGGACCTTAAAGACCATCTCATTCCTCTGCCATGGGCAGGGACAACTTCCACTAGAGCTGATTTTTACAAGCCCTGTCCAGCCTGGCCTTGGACACTTCCTGGGATGAACTTTAGCTCCGTGGAATTATAGACCCAACCAACTACAGCTTGGCCAAACGGGCTGTTCACTTCCTGTGACATTCATCCTGCTCTACCAGAGAACTGGAGGAAAATAAAATACTTTCTGGAGCACAAACAGAACAGGGTTTAAAGAGTTATTTGAGAAACAAAAACATACGGGGCATTTTTTGAGAGAGTCCCTTGCTGGTACATGGTAGCCACATCTTCAGAGTAGATCCTGAGGTCTTTGAAAGGATTCACAGAAATCAAAATTTGCCCAATGTAGGTCTAGGACAAAAATAAGAAAGGGGGAGGGGGGAAATCTGGTGGCTTCTTAGAGTTTTCTGAATGAGGATTGCAGCTGAATGCATATACTAATACAAATATACAAATTCCCTTTAAAGGAATGTTATTTATTCTGACTATACTGCCAATTTATTGTGGACACAGCATTTCAGTGGTCATTTTCAAATCTCTGTCATTAATATTTTGGGATAAATGAGCACTTACAGGTCTGTGGTCATTTCCTCTAGCCACTGTTTATTCTCCACATGAAGTTATAGGCACAGGTTTGAACACTTGAGCCAGTAAATGGAAAAGAGAACAATTAACCATCCACAACCAGATCTGGACTGCAGCACTGTGAAATGTTTGTAGAAACTCTGAGGTTTCTTCTCAAGATCCACAATTTTTAACTCAAAACTTCTTGGCTAAAATAGGAGATTCTCAGTAGGAGCAACTGAGCCTAAAAAGGAGCCCAAGTATGCTCACAGGTTGGCAACAAATACCAAAATTACAGAGAAACTCTGGAACTTCCAGATTTTACCCCAAATATTTAATGCTACCTGATTTCTGAGCACAAGCTGTGTGAATATACTTTTTAGCACTGTTCCCAGTAATGAGTGAGATACTTGGTGCCTTATTAAAGCTTAATGGCATAATATAAACTATTTTCACTTAAAGCTCATTTCTCAGAGTGAATAAGCACCGAAGAAAAGAAAACCAAACCAAACCAAACATCACTATCCATACATAAATGAGATTGCAATGGAACCTCTTCTTCAGGCACAGCAGGACTGAGCTCTCAGAGACTTCCCTAAAACAGAGGAAAGGACTCATCACCCATAAGCTTCACTTGCATGTGTTAATATTAAATATTAACCCTTCTGCCCTCCCAAGGATCACAGAATATTCTGAGTTGGAAGGGACCCACAAGGATCGTGGAGTCCAGCTCTTAAGTGAATGGCCCATATGGGGATTGAAGATTTTGTGGGGAGCTGGGGCCAAAAACTCTTCACTGCTTTCATGTGGTTCCAACATCCTCAGGATTAAACAAATCAGAGAATGGAGCAGTCAAAGCTCAGAACTTCCTCTGTGTGATCACAGCTCCTTGTACAGCTTTTACAGGTATTTATCTCAACAGGATGACAGGAAGGGAGGATGTGTGAGGAGCAGTGTCAGGGGCTTATCTTTCAACAACAGCAATGAACCAAGGGTTTAACAGCTCTTAAAGATGTAGGATGTGATTTTTTTCACAGCTGAAGGCAACAGGAGTCACTAAAGCCACAGATGCCAATGTCAGTAGGCAAAGAACATAGAAATGTGCTTCTCATCCTGCAAGCTGCCCTTTCTTACCACTCACTTCATACAATAACGAAGACATGTTAAATTTACAATTCTGTCCTTCTGCTACATCACAGAAGTCACATCACCCTCTAAACCTAATTTCCCCTACCTATTAAGTATCTTGGGGTATTTTTAGAACCATTTCAGGACTGGGAAACATTTAACAGGAGAGACAGAGTACCAGAGATGCAGCTGTACAGAAGTCTGTTAACCAGGCTGAGCTGCTGGCTCTGGGGTGTGACTGCAGAGGTTCAATGTGCCCTCTCTGTGCAGCAGAGCCTGGGGACATGCTCTACCAAACAGTCAGGAGCTTCCTCTGCACCTCTGCTCCTCCCCAGTGTTTCAGTGTAGGTCCATAACTTCACCACTAAAATTCAATTTTACTTAGCTTTTCAGCAGAGCATCAGCTATGATACACATCCAATCGATTCTATTTTCTCCCACTGAGGAAAAATTTTATTTTCTCCTATCTAGCTAATCTATCTAGCTAATGTTTTCTATTGTTGAGCCACCTTTGCAGGATAACAAGCAAGCCCTTGTGACCTGAATGAGCTGCAGACACTGAGGACACCTACTCCAGTCTAGTTAGATCTTCAATCTCCTCAACTTCTGCACAGTGCTCTTCACACAGGTACACCTGAAATGCACAGATACATGACTGAAAATCAGAGGGAGTTTAGTTCCATTCCAGTACAGGGGACAACACCTGTACCTGTTTCTGCATGAACTCCATCTCCAGCACATTGTCAGCAATATCATCTGCCTCCCACTGCTCCTTGCAGACCCTCACACAGCTGCTGGCCAGCTGGGGCTCCTTGGAGATGGTCCATTTGCTCAGGTTGTCCTTGGCTGGCCATGGCAGCAGCAGTTTGGGGTCCAGCCATGCTGCAGGGTCCCGTCCCTGCCCCTGCTGCTGGGACCAGTGCACGCTAGGAGTGACCATGGATCCTGCAGTCTGCAGGACACCCGAACCCTCCTTGGTATCTGCCTCACTGCAGTAATCTAAGGAATGGGTTGGCTCCTCTTCTCGGCGTGGGAGGAAGCCCTGCTTGCTGTTTCTCTGGCTTGGATCCACCAGAGATCTGGGAAGATCACATTTGAATCTGCAACCCTGTTGCATAGGAGTGACAGATTTTCTCTCTGATGGAGATTTCAGCTTCTGTAGGGAATAACCATTGCCAGAGCCCCTGGACAAGGAGTTCTTGGCCTTAACCAAGCTGTGGACTCTGGGGAACACTACAGCAAACTTGGCATCAGTAGTAGCAGTGTTCTTCTCATCCAAGTATGGAAAGGAACTGGTTCCATGGAGAGGGGAATCACCAGGAGGTAAATCAATGTGTCCCACTTCCTCTACCATTTTAGGACCACCTTTCCCCTCCACCAATGAAGCAGAAGATTCTTCGTCCCTTGGCTCAGCTCTCTCCAGCTGCCCAGCTGCACCAGGGAAGGCTTTGCCCAACCCACCCACCCACCCAGCAGTGCTCAAAATCTGGATTGCCATTCTACTTCTGAATCCAAAAGGTTTGCTGCTCCTCTTCTTCTTCCCAAATTTCTTCAAGAACCATCTGGAGATACCAATTGCACGTGCCACATTCAGCAGTCGAGCTTTCAGCCTTGCTTTCTTGGCAGGTTTTTGGCCAAGCCAGCTGGTGACTTTTCTAAAAGCAGAGCAGCTGTGCAAGTGCTTGGATCCTTCCCCACCGTGCACAGGTTCTGCTTCAGAAGGTGCCTCTGCAACCATTTCTCCTGCTTTCTCTTTTTTTGACTTTGTAGACTGGCCTGAACCCTGTTTAACTTTTCCAATAACTTTTCCAACTCTCTTCTTTCCATGGAGCTGCTTATCAGATGATTTTTTTGTAATTGTGGAGCAGCTTGAAGTATTTAATCTTTTCTTTCCAAAACTCTGATCTGTGTTGGGTTCTCTTTGTTTACTGGGAGTTTCTAGAGTCGGGGGTTTTGAACAGATGCTTTCAATATTGTTCAGGTCTGAGCTGGTTCCCAAAGCCATCTGGGCAGGATTTGGTTTCTGGCTTGGTGATAGCTTGGTCTCAGCATTTTTATGCTGGTTTTCCAGACTGAGGGGGATTTGGATTCGAGAAGAACTTTTCTTTGTAAGCATCAGTGCTGGAAGGTCCTGCCTGCTGCAGTCTGAACTGTCCTTCTGTCTATCTCCAGCCTCTTCACCTTGTTCTGGGATCTCACACTTGCCAGATTTCTCCCTCAGTGTCCTCTGCTGCTTGGAGAGGAAAGAGCCATCTTCTCGCTCTCTGCCTTCATCATTCACCTTCTCTTCCTGTTCATATTTGCTAAGGTCAATGTGGAGTTTTGCTTTCACAGCTGTTGGGAGTGGTTCTAGTTTGTTTTCTTTTACTTCATCAGTGTTCTCTGCAGTGCTGCTCTCCCCACTGCTGTCAGAATTCACGTGTCCATCTTTTGACATATCTTCAACTCTGTCATTTTCTAGTATATTTTCATTCTCTATTTCAATATTTTCCCTGTTCTTGACTTCGAGTCCTGTAGTGCTTAACTGATCATCTGCCTTACTACTCTCATCTGGAGCACATTCTGGTTGTCTCAGCATGTTGTCTGGCTTCCTCATCTTCTCCCCTGCTTCCAATCCTGCAAATTCAGTGCCTTCAGCATCAGATTCAATTTTTCCACCTGTGGTCACCTGCTCCTTTTCAGGTTCAATAGATGCTTCCTTGCTTTCATCAGCCAGTTCCTTGTAGCCTTTTTCTTCATTCACAGGAGGATCTTTGAGCACAATTTCTTGCTCACTCTTGCCATCTAACTCGGAAGAGCTGCTCCTCTCTTCAGAAGAGCTGCTCTTCTCTTCACTGCAGGAAGTGCTGCCCACCACAGCCTCCTTTGTACCCATTTTGTGGGTTCCAGGGCCTTCACTGCTGGAGTCAGAGCCAGAGTTACCTGAAGTTTCCAGAATATTTTCATCCTCACTTTCAGTGATGACAATCCTGGTAAGATTTTCAGCTTGCTTTTTCCCAGTCCTCTCCCCTTTTTCCTGTGCTGTACTGCCTTGGGATTGAGAACCTGATTTCTGCTCAGAAGCCTCCTTGAAGTCCTGATTCCCTCTGTGCCTTCCCCTGGGGTTCTGTGCCTTTTCTGCCAAGTTCTGTTCCTGAAAAGAACCTTCAGCACCTTGCTCTGTGATCTCCTTTACAGCCCCCAGCTCAGTGCCTGATTCACCAACACCAAGTTTCTTTCCACATCTCTTTTTAAAACTCCGTTTCTTTCTGTTTGTGATGGCTTTTCCCTCCTTGTCACTGCTGTCCTCACTCTCCTGCCCTGATGTCATTTCCCGTTGCTTGCAGGGCTTTCCTTTTTTCCCCTCCAACCCGGACACTCCATGTTTTCTCTCTAAACCAGATTCATTTTTGTAGTTTCTCCTGCAGGCTCTTTTTCTCCGGAATAACTTCTTGTGGTCATTATCTTTGCTTTCCTGAGGCCTCTCCAGCCTCTGGATTTTTAAGGGTTCTTCTCCAAGGCTGTCACCTTGTCCAGGAAGTGACTCTTTGTCCTTCCCTTGGCCTCTGCTCTTACCTTCCCTCCGCTTCCCACAGCAGATCTTGGAGTCTCCTGCGGAGTTTTTCTCACAATTGAACACCTTCTCTTTCCCAGCCTTTTTCTGCCAGGTCTTGGATCGGGAAGGAGGCATTCTCCCAGCTGCAACTCTGATACTGAAGCAAAAAACTGCTGCCCTGAAAGCAATTGCATACAATTAAGGGTTCCCCAACAATGCATCCTTAGAGTTCCCTCTAAACTTGTATTTTTCGTTCTGGTCTAGAGCTGACTCTGTACAAACCCTCCTGGACACTCTGCCCAGTGCAGAGTTCATCTCTGAACACCAATCACCTTCCCTCCCTCTCTCTGAACAGGACAGTCATACACAGGTGTCTGCTCAGCTCATTTCAGCCCCCCCTCCCCACCTAATACCCACTACTCCTGGCCTAGATCGCTAAATCCTGCAAGACTTTTGTTACTGAGATTAATGGCAGCTGAATTAGACCCTAAATCCTCAGTACAGAATAGTTGTTAATATTCTGTCCTCCTGGAGGCTTAAAGTTGATTCAGCTTCTCTACAGTGCCAAATGCAGGAGAAAATAATAAATAAAGTCTGCTTTTATGTGCTGTTGCTAGATAGTCATGTGTCTAAAGCCTTCCATAAAACAAAAATGCTGAAATTCTTGGATATGGAGGAAGGTCAGGAACACCACCCAAATTTGTTGGGAGCTCAGACTCAGGAGTTTGGTTTGACTCACTGTAAAAGGAGCCCAGAGTGAATCTGGGTTACAAAAGTGAAAAAGTGAAGTTTACAATTCTTCAGAGACAGGGCTTTAGAGCAGATTGGTTTGTAACACCACTCTTATTACTGGGAACGGGAAGATGAATCACTGCTTATATAAACAATTCCTTTGACATCAGACCTGCTCTGATTAACTGCCCTGGACCATCTGCCTGCTGGACACACTGCAGCAGGTGAAAGATGCTGCTCATCAGTTTTTCAGCTCCCCTCACCACACCAACTACACCTAAATCACTACAGGAAAAAGAACAATTCCATGGCATTCTCCCTTTGTAAAAGAAATGAGAATAACTCACATCAGAGAAAGGAGGTCCTCAGTGCTGTCAAGAATCACAGCATGAACTTACAGCTAAAAAGAAGAGCAGAAAGCTCACGCTGCAATTTCAAGACCAATAGGGAATTGTCTGTCTTCCCTGAGCACAGTGGATTCTCCCAGCTCACACAGAGAAAAGTACAATCATTAATATTAAAGGGACCTGCCTGGAACTTAATTCTTAAATTTCTATTTTCATTCACCGTACAAATTGCTCTAACCCCTTCTTTCATCTTTCTGCACAGTAATTTTTGTAACATACCTACACTGATTCCAGCCAGCTGCCCCTTACCTGGATCACAGGTCACATCCATGCAGTGGTAACATATTCCCTCTCCCAGGCCCTGTTTCCATGCAGCCCAGGGTCTGTTCCAAAGTTCTTGCACGCCTGCCCAGCTGTGGAGCCTTACAGGGATTCTGGCAGTGCTGTGCTCTGAGAGCAGATAATTACATGTATTTGGAAGGAAAGTGGCATCAATAATTCAAGCTTTCTCATGGTATCTTTTGAACTTTTCAACCAGTAATATCAGCAGCTGGCTTGCAGAGTTTGGGATAAAAGAAGAGGTGGGATTTCACCTAGGTCAGGGTCAGATGTGGTATGATTAGGTGCACCCCCAAAGAAAGGGGTCAATACCAAAACCAAAACACATCCACTATAATGCAAGAGACTACCAGACAAGGCACAGTAAAAACTACCTAAAAAAAAAAGCTTAGGTCAGTGAAAAGAATTAAATCATAGGCCCCTTTCTTTTGCAGCCCTGGAGTTTTATTCCAGGGAGCCAAGCACGGACAGCTCAGCCTCTGCTCTCTCCTTGCCAATACCAAGCTCTCTGCTGAAACAGGAAAGCAGTTTCCAGCTCAGCACTGAAAAAGACAGCAAAACTGGCACCATTTTTGCCCTCATTATGCCTAAATCTCAGTCCAAATCAAGCAGAACGACTAAATCTCCTTTCAACTCAAATTTCCAAATAGAGTTGTTCTCCTCTTGCAGACAGGCTGAGGTTACTCACAGCCAGTGTTTATGTCCATGAAATTCTGTTTAATTCGGGGATGGTTTTGCCCTGCCTGGGCTGTTCTGAAGAAATCAGGTAACAGAGCAGGCACAAATGCTCAGTGTGAGCTGTACGTGCAGCCACCCCCTGCTCTCCCCGGGCTGCAAAGGGACAGTGCAGGGAGACCAGGATTTAACAGCTCTGAGAATGGCACTGGCCCTGTAGATTTCCTGCTCCCTCCCAAAAAGCTTTTCCAGAGGAGCTGGAGATTAAACAAAATGAACTCAGGTCTGGCCAGCCACCAGAACAAGTGACCCAAACATGAAATGTGATAATAAATGCATTTTAGATGCTTTGCAGCATTAGTTTTGGTGGGACCTGTTTGTCTATCTCCTTCCAAGAGCCCCTGGCTGTTACGTTCTGTAGGACTCCTCCATTAAGAAGCAAAGATAAAAACTGGGGGTTGAGCTGTAGAACTCAAGAATTTTACCTGAGCTTTCTGTCCCTGGATGCTCCACTTCTCTTAGTTCACAAGAACGAGGCTGCAGAGCAACAGTGTAGTTAATTATTTCATCACGTTCTTTTATTAACTGTCCACAAATAAGCCTTTATCCCTCTCTGCAGAAAAGTGTAATACCTGTAAAGCTCAGAATGACTGATGGCATGTGGATCATCAATTCCTTAATGAATCCTAGAAAAAAGCCCTGGGGCTCTTAGCTTCTAATGTGTGTGCAGCAGGGAGGAGAAGCTGCTCTGAAAAATTCAACTCTTGAGGAGGAGGAAATGGCTCTAACAAACTCCATCAGCATCAGGTGGAGCCTCTTCAAGGCTCTGCAAAGCCCAGGCAGCACCAGAGCTGCTGCTTTGATTTCTGTGATTTGTCAGAAGCCTCAGACATTTGGGTTTCACCCTGGGAGGGCTGAGATGAAGTCACTGATCACATTCACTTCAGACTCCTGTCTGCTCTGAGCTACCTGAGATGAGAAAGGCTAAACTGGTGCTGTGCAGATACTCCCTCCCCACCCCAGTCTCCAGCCTGGCTGTCCCAGCACCTCTAACCTGAATTCTCTGCACAGAATGAGCACATTTGTTTGCCTTTTAAAGTGCTCCTGGCAAGATGCTGGCAGTTGGTTCATATCTCGTTAAGGGGGAGGCAGATAAGCACCAGGAAAGATGAAACCCTTTCAGATTTCAGCTCCAGATCCCCAAGTAGACTGGATAGTGGAGTTTCCTAAAGATTTCTTCATTTATGCAAAATACCAGGTCCTTTCAGCCAGAATTCAGCCACTATGATTCAAAAAAGTTATTAGAGAGTGATAAAACATTAGAATCACCTTTTCACTGCAAATTCTTAAGTCAACTACATAAAAGAAAAGGTTTTGATGCTATTGCATAAAAGAGATATGAAAGGTAACTCAATTTTTAAAAATTACTAAATCACAAAAGAAAATTAGTAGAAACTAGCTGTGATTTGTCAGAAAAATTACATTTTGCATAAACTCCCAACCACCTTGTTTGCTTGGTCATAGCTCAGGTAAAGAGATTGGTCAAAGCTATTCTTAAGAACATCTGGTTTTAAGATAAACCCCCTAAACATATTAATAGGGTCTCCTCTTGGTTTGACTCCACAGCAAGTAGAATTGACAATCCAGGCAGGATTGAAGCCTGTAAGACTTGTTTAAAAATATATCTTTTTTATGTATCGCCCCTCCTTCCCCACACCCCTCATTGCCTTCGTATAAAATATCTCCACTCTTGCTTGGATATCATATGCTGCCTCATATTGACAGAAAATATTCTCCTTTGAGCCTGTACCCCAGGCTTCTGAGGGAGAATTCCTGACCTCTCGCTGTTTCAGACTGGTAAGGGCTCTGCTGCTCTCTTCCAGCTATTTTAGGATGAGCCAAAAGGTCTCCAAGGGCCTCTTCCCCAGCCATAACCCGAGGAAGCCAAATCAAATATTCATTGCAAGGAGAAACCAAAACAATTAAGTTACATAGGTATGAAACCAGCCCCCTTAAATATTTCAGGAGCACTTTGTTGCCCAATTGTCTGCCGTGCAGCAGGGCTGGATGATCCTGTTGCACTGCAAGGCAGTGGCCTGTGGCCCCAGCCCAGGGGTCAGAGACAGCCCCAGGCTCTGGGCAGGGATGGACCTGAGCTGGGTGAGCTGCAGGACTCTGTGCTAAGAGAGGGCTCAGACTTCTCCCTCCTAATCCCCTGAGTGACCCCTGTGGTTTGTGTCTAAAAGGAGCAAATCGAGGAGGCAAGGCCAGGCAAGCCAACCCTAAATCCACTCCTGGTTTGGTAGCACCAGAGCTCCTGGCAGAGCAGTGCCAGAGCCAGAAACTGCCCCATGGCTCATCCCACTGCTGCTGTGCCCTGTGCTCCTCTCAGACTCTGGATGGGATGTTTGTACTTTCGTTTTATTGGGCACACCGAGGAACCTGGGTGGCCTCAAATGAGCCGTCCTTGCTCTCCTTCCCTGTTTCTGAATAGCTGGGAACCATGGGTTTGATAGAGAATTCCTCTGAGTCAGTGAAATCCCCTGGATTTAAACTGGGTTTCAACCCAATTATACATGAAAGCAAAAAGCTTTTTAATAGTTGGGGGTGGGCTACAGCCCCGGGGCTGTTCTCCCGTGGGAAATGAGTGCTCTGCAGAAAGCAGCTGAGCCCCCAAGTACAAATCAAAGGCTCAAAGTGGAATGTCAGATTGTGCAGACAGAAATGATTACACCCAGGTAGTTGAAAATCCCCAGCAGATTCTAATAAGCTTGTAGAGATAAAGGTAGAAGGAATCATGCAGCTAAGGGTGAGGTCTCATGTTACAGCCAAACTGACTTTGTGGGGCCACTCCTTCCTTCCAGTGTCTTCTGTTTTCCCCAGCTGCTTCCTTTACACCAGTGCTGGTGGTCACCTCAGTGCAATTCGATCTTACAGGTAAGTTGAACTTCCTCATGCTGAACTTCTTTCTAAATGAGAGGCCTGCTTGCCTGGAATTGCTCTTGCTGGTTATTCCCTTATTCCAGATCATAAAGCATTAGT